CCTTTTTAGTCTTAGATAGAAAGTGCACTTCCAAAATGATCAAAAGTGCCCCCGCGACACACACCCCTCCTTCCCAGTAGGCGCGCGACAACATCGCTCTTGAGTATGTGCGCCCCCAGTTTTTTCAGGAATCAGTCTCATGCTCACCACTCCTCCATGACCACCACAGCATCTGATACGGCCTGGATACAGCCTGGTCCAGGATTATGGAAACCTCAAAAATAATAAAAAAAGAGAGTAACATATGCTTAGATGCTATCAAATTATAATGTCTTTTGGGAAGTGTTCCCGGGTCCAGTTGCCCTAAATAATGCAGACTAACAATCCTTTAGAGGATTTGGATTTCATCAAAAGCGTTTGTGTTTTATGCTGATTCAAAGAGATGTGTCTTCAATCTAGTTTTAAACTGACAAGAGTGTGTCTGCTTTCCGAATTGTGTTAGGGAGGCATCTTAAAATCATTGCAAGAATTAGATGCTTTGTTTCCATTGAAGATTTAAAGAAATTTGTTCATGCTTTTATTACCAGCAGGTTGGATTACTGTAATGGACTTTATACCGGTCTTCCCAAAAAGATAATCAGACATATACAGCTGATCCAGAATGCTGCTTAAATAAAATTACACATTAAATTACATTGGAAATTTGCATTTTTGCCGCAACTAATTTATAAATGAGTCTGCATCAGCTATATAAAAGAGAATCCCTTTATTTAAGTGAATAAAATACCGTACTTACTGTAGTTCAACATTAATAAAGCTCCAGCCACACACCTGATTCGTGTGTGTATGTGTGTGTGTGTGTGTGTGTGTGTGTGTGTGTGTGTAGAGTAGATGAAATTAACTGGAGAAGCAGGCAGTGGGCCAAACCCCTGTGAGGAACGGTAGAAGGAACTCCTGGTCTCCAAAGTTTAATGATCCATTGCTGAGAATTAAGAGATTCAACATTATATTTTTATTATATTTTTAATTTCAGTTGATTTCATCTAAGGCTGTGACTGTGGTTTTGTTTTTTTCTTTATCTGTGGTGTCATAATCAGTGCCCAATCATCATTTAATTAATTGCTTAATTATCTCATTATCTTTAACTGTGAGCTGAGTAAATTTTACTGTGTACATTTTTTACTGTGTACAGTGAAAATATTAAAGTTCATGTTCGATCTGGTTGAGGACAGAGAAAGGCTGACATTGAGAATAATGGCTCATTTCCACTAACTGGTACTGTACGGTATGGTTTGGGTCGGTACGGGTCACCTTTATCAGGCTTGCGTTTCCACTACCAAGGGTACTCTTTTGGTGGGCATGGTGTATGACAAAGTTTCAGTCGCATCATTCTCGCTCGAGAAAATGTCTACAATAAAGCTGTACGGGTCGATCATATATCATATAAGAAGCACTTCTCACAAAACAGAGGCTTTACACACATAAATACTTGTTTATAAATGTTTATTACTAATTTTTCCATGAAGAGGATTTGATTATAACTGCAGATCAATGACAGCGCGAAATAGCCTACAGTAACGTCTGCAATTATATTAAATAAATTAACATATATGAACACATACAGACTTTTACAGTCTCTTATATGTTATCAATTACAGGAAAACTACACTCAGCATACATTTAGTCCTTAATTAGGTTCAAAACAACACAAAATATAGCCTACAGTCAGTGAAAACCTCTCATCTGTGTCTTTAATCTTTAGCAGCACATGTAGCCTCTGTTAGAGAGTCACTCCATCATTCTGAGTTCATATTAGTCCAAAAGGTGATGATAACAAAATAAAACAAGGCAGTTTGTTCACGTTTGTTCATGTTTGCTGAAGAAATAACGTGCTGCTTCTTTCCCGGTTTCTCCTTTTTTTCGCGCTTCACTCTCATGTTTGTCAGTGTCTGGCATAATTTTGAAAAGCACGCCAATAATCAAGCTCACGTTATTATTATCAGCTCAAGAAGTTTATTATTTCAGACATGGATGCGCGTCGAGCGTAAGCAAGAAAGCGAAACCGTTCGCACTTCAGACTGGCTCATAAAAAACTATGAGGCACAGGGTAGATTCTGCTTTACTCCATGGCTTTGTGGCTGTTCATCAACACGACGACAAGGTCTGTTTGAGCCCGGATCGACCATGGCTCGTTATTATAAGTATATATAATTCCGCTGTAATCTCTCGCTGTGTATTTCAAACATGGCTGCGTGTCTAGCTCCGCCTTTTGGTACCCTTTCTCGTGTTTGGCACCCTTTCCAAAGGGTGCCGAAAAAGTGGTACGGTACGGTTTGGTTCGGTACGCCTTTTGACAGTGGAAACGCCCATAAAAGCGTACCAAATCGAACCGTACCGTACCACTCAGTGGAAACGAGCCATAAGGGTAAACAACAAAGAATTTATAGTTGTGTAAATGTTGTACTAATAGTTGTCTGAATTATTATTTTTAGGTGATTGCAATCAATTAGGCTACATATAGATACTCTATATTTCTATGCACTTTAACTGAGAAGAATTTAGTTCTAGGCATAGTTTTATTTCCATTTCTTAAAGTTTCTCAAAGTGTCTGAATCCTTTTTGAGTTCATATGTACTGTAATTATTGCACCATAGGGGGCCAATCACACGGAATGCATTTACATTCCAAAAACGCGAGGTGCAACACACTAGAGATCTGCACAGGACTGGATTTTTAATCCTGCTCCTGCCAGGTTTTATTCCGCACCCGACCACTCCTGCCGTATATTCAATCTTTGTTCACCGGCTGCCCGATCTGCCTCGTTTTCTACCCGACTCGACCGTTCCCACTAAATTCAGATCTAGTTTCCAAAATTTCACATTAAAATTGGGCACTACCAAAAGAGAAAGATAACAGATAAAAGTGTAGGCTGTGCTAGGATTGTAGGCTAAATGTCAGTTTTGTTTGCCTCTTTGTAATGAGACATAAATGCCGCGTGACGTGCCGTGAGGTTTGTGGCTACATATCTACTGAATATATTTGCCAACTACCAATTGTGTTTTACATGCTTTTTCCGCTCAGAGTTGACTTTTTTCAACTGTGAGCACACGGCAACCAAAGGGCAAAATGCGAGGCACAGCAGGTGGTTATAACGCCAGGCGCGCAGGGCTCATGAGCAGCACGCATTATTACGGCCATTATTAAATCATTCAAAAAAGGTGCCTTATGCATGTTTTTAAACTGTGGATGTTACTGTTATAGTAATCAGTTGTTATTGTAATACATTTTTTAATGCCATCAGTATGTAAGAATGTTGTAGCTACAGTATGTCACAAAAGTGAGTACACCCCTCCCATTTCTGCAAATTTTGATTTATATCTTTTCATAGGACAACACTGCAGAAATGACTTTTTGACACAATGAAATGTAGTCAGTGTAAAGTGTGTATAGCAGTGTAAATTTATTGTCCTCTCAAAATAACTACAAATGCAGCCAATAATGAAAAAACTGTGTTAACCGCATCAGCTAAACTCTCCCCACTCTATTTTTTTCTTTTGTTGTTAATTCCGGAGGACAAACGTCCAAAAAACACAGTTTTTCTCCGGTCTACCTCCGAAAGCATCACCTTCAATTCACATTCTGTTCAAAGTTTTTCTTTTTGCTTGCTTTTGCCATTGCTTTTTCGTTGAGTTTTGCCAAAGTAGAGTCATTAGCATATTCATACGGGGGAGGAGGCAGGGAGGGGTTTTGTGCTCGTGCATGTTGTGCTCAGTTTCACGTTCATTTGGATGTACAAAAGAATATGTGCGGCATTCGGCGTACGCAGTGTTTCATACAGTTTTCAGTCCTGTAGGACTCCTTCTTCAGCTTGACAGCATCCCTTATTTCCGGCTCCTTCCCTCCAAGTGAGGTGACATTACATGTTCGATCGGGTTGTCGTGGTCCTAACCTTCGACCACCACCCGTTCCACAATGCACCGGCCCCTTACGGCTCCCCCTGCAGGTGGTGGGCCTGCGGGAGGATGGTCCCACATCGCTCCTTCGGGAATAAGCCCGACCGGGTTCCGTGGGAAAAAACCCGGCCACCAGGCGCACGCATACGAGCCCCAACCCCAGGTCTGGCTCCAGGGTGGGGCCCCAGCCGCGCTATACCGTACAACATCACAGTCTTTGATGTCACTGAACTCATAAGGGGTTTTTTAACCGCACTTAGTCTGACCTGCCACCTAAGACCTATTTGCCTTGTGAGACCTTACCAGGGGCATTAGCATCCAACAACATAGCGCTTAAGGATCACTCAGGCACTCAAACCCCTCCACTAAGGTAAGTTGGCGGTTCATGGAGGAGGTGTGTAACTCCTTTTGAGAAAAGAAAAAAAAGAGAAAATGCTTACAAACTTCTAAGTATATCTTAGCTTTCTTAGCTTGTTTCTCAAGAAGATTTTCATGAATCTGGTGACAGTTTAATAAGATAACATGGTAATTTTACCTCCCTTTAGGAAATTGGTTTGACTTACCCTGAGTTCCCCTCATTTCAGCATTACCATGCTCAGGGTTTTCACTTGACCTTGTTTCTGATATGGGCCTCTGGAATGCTCATTTGTTTCAAGGCACTAGAGTATTGCTCAAGATTGCCTGCTGACAACATATTATTACTCACTGACTCTCTAACTTGGTTTATTTCCTGCTCCCCTCTAATAGTTATTAATTTTACCACAAACACATTTCTAGATTTTTATTAATTACATTTCTGATGTTGACAACACTCAATTCAACAATTCTACTAATAACAACATAATTACTGGATATGTATATGTTTAATGATCTTTAGTTCCTCAGAACATGACAATTACATAGACAGATTACACAGATCTTTTTTTCAGCAGTTTCATAAATCAGTAAAACATGTACCAAATGATAAGTCAACCACATCGAAGCCTGTTACCTTCTACACAGATCATGGTGTGTCAACACACATTGTCTGTAATTCATCAACTCAGAATTTCGGTGGGGCTTCTCCATGTTGATCAATAACCCTTTTTTACTGTTTGATCTTTTTGAGCAGTTGTGTATGTACGGGACACTTTTAACCAACCTTTAACATTTGTCAGTCAGAATTCTCATTCTTTGCTTGGCTAAACACTATTAGACCAGGCTTGTTCAGCTTCATTCGGCTGCTCCTTTGCTTCATGCAGCAGCCAAACATGGAAAACTTGTCCTGGCTCTTTCTAGTTCTAAGCTTGTTAACAGCTGTATTTAGTAAATCATCTGTATTGATTTCACAATGCACTCTGCAGAAGGTAAGTGTTTTTAAGCGCTATTTAAAGGCAGATTTATAACCATTTAAGGATGTTTACTGTAAAATCTAAAGTATCAGTGTTAGGGAGGTTACTTTGGAAATGTAATAGATTACAGATTACTCAATTAAAAATGTAATAAGTAGTGTACTTTTTATTTATAAAAGTAAAGTAACTGATTACATCTGATTACTTTTAAATTTCTAATGGATTTTTTAAACTTTTTTTCTTTCGCTCTGTTTACCGTTAGAATTTCTATGTATTAACATTATATTAATTTAATTTTAAAGTACAGCCGCCACAAAACCAAACTTTATAACAAAAATGTTTACTGTTGTTACAAAATCCAAATTTTAGTTAGTTGTGCAAGGTGATTTTTGTGGCATTTGCAATAAAAATATTACATCTAAGCTATTTTTGCTATTTTAATTTTTAAATCGAAGCAACTTACATTCAAGTCAATCACATCTTAGTTATCAGTAAAACTGTCAATGGCACATATGAGGCATGATTGTTCAGTTCAGTTATTTACTGCAAATAATATGTTGTACTTTATATACACGTTATATATTTTAGTATATAACAGCAAAAACTAAAAATCTAATAAAACCAGATGTTACACATTTTAAAATACTAGTAATTTATATTTAATAGTATAGTACATATGTTTAAAACTCTTCATTAATAAATTACACTACAAAATGTAGTGTCAGTAGTAACTATCATGAACTAATAGTAATTACCATAGTATACTTTAGCCTTTACTATATAGACCTCCTCTCCCTAAGTCATCTTTTTATGAAGCAAATTTCTCGTGTTAGCTTTGGTTGGCGATGTCACAGACCACAGAGAGAGGTGGCAGTAATGCACCAAAAAGTTTGTTGTCGACCACTGAAAAACCGGTAGAAAAAGAAATGGTCATTTTCGCCATCATATGGCTTTAAATGTATTAATGTTTTTTGAAACCTAAATAGTAACCAAAATTAACAAAATAATAACCAAATATTTAATTTTAGTAACCAAATATTAAAATAGAAAGTTCAGATAGTATATGCAAATCTCTATCTATCTATCTATCTATCTATCTATCTATCTATCTATCTATCTATCTATCTATCTATCTATCTATCTATCTATCTATCTATCTATCTGTCTAATTTCAACAATGAATTTGTTTTTCTCTCCAGGATTTTTTAGATTCACTGAAACCTCAAGATTTATTTTATTATTTTGATACTATTTCTACTAAATCAGGTAAGTCTGATATTCACAGATTCGATAGAAGTAGTGGTCACAAATGAGGAGTCGGGCTAACAGGGTTAAGGTTTACAGAAAAGCCATTACTTTGTTTATTTTGTCTTTATAAAGTCAGTATATATAAAGGTGAACATGTATACACCTTAACATTATTGGTCAATATTTTTCAGTGCCTCCCTTTGAGATAGTGTGGGTGAACTGCTCAAGGAATGAGTTTATCAAAGGGCTGTGGAGGTGTTTGTTTCAGACCAAAGGAGAGAGCTTTGAGCTGGTCCAACACAGTGCTAAACAAGCAGTGTCCTGTCCCACAAGTCTAGAGATGATAATAAATTCAACGGTCAGCATGGTGAAGAAAAGAGAGGATATGTGTTGCGAGCAGCTGAAGTTACTACGACCAACGCATACAAGAACACTTCTCCCTGTCTGCTATGGAAAATTAGTAAGCTTATGTTATTATATATATATATATATATATATATATATATATATATATATATATATATATATATGACCAATAATGTTGTATGCATTGCAATATTTTAAGCAAAACTGCTATTACTCTGCTAATTAGCAGTCCTTCACACTCTGCTCTTACTGGTGGAATGTGTAATCAACGAAGATTGGCTATCAGGCTGGCCAAGTTTAGCCAGGAAACCCCAAACACTAAATTGGCCAATCTTTTGATTTTATTGTCCAACCCCTGTTTAATGTTATTGTCCTGTAATGTTATTGGTGTTAAGCTTCTCTCACACTGGAGTTTGAGCTAGTGAAATTCTGTCGCACGGCGCTGCGAAAAGGGGAGTGATTAAATACGATGATTAAAAATAAAAAAAATTGAGCAATTGGTCTATATTTTAAATTTCTGTCTAGAGAGGTCATGTTTTGATTCTCGATTGGTCTCACGCTGTCAAGTGATGTGATTTCTCAGGTCAGAGTTTACCAAGCTTGAACTCTTCAACGCAGCGAACTGTGAAACTTGTCGCATGAACTTGCGTTTCCAGTCTGACGAATTCGCGTGCGTGTGAATGGAAGTCTATGGGGGAAAAAATCCAGTGTGACTGCAGCTTATTTGTTGTTATGTGTTGTGCAGAGATATAAAGTATGTCTAATTATTAAAATCTGTGTTTGTCCTTAGCAAGGTTTGATTCAGTCAGGAGAAATGAGGCTGTATATTCGCCCAGTGCTCGAACAGCACATAGACAATCTGAAGGACCTTACTATGGATTTACCTCCCGGTGTTCCTCATTTGCTAATAACTCAGACATTACCAGTGAGGACACGTCTTAAACAGCCCAAGAGTGAGCACACATTTTACTGGTTAATATACACAGTGTACAGTACAATATCACTAAACTTAAACAGTCCACAGGAATACATTTTATCTTAATAATAATTCATCTTTTCCATTTCTTTGAGGGGACATTTAAACCTGATTGTTTTTTCAACTTGAGTATTTTTTGCTTGTTATTCCATATAAATATGCAGACATCTTATGCCTGCGCTTCAATTCTTATTGTTTTTTCAGAGCCTTTTGTAATCAATTTGAGGATATACAGATTTTTCTTTATTTTCTATAAATTAAAGGGCACATAGTTTACCCCTTTTTTTTAGATCTAATATTAATATTATAGTTCTTCTGAGTGTGCCAGTTTAGGTTCAGTTCAAAACACAGTTCAGATTTTTTATTATAATGTGTTAAAAAGTTTTATTTTGAAGGCATGTACAGAGCTCACTGTTTTAGAGGCATGTTGCTTCATTAGTTTTGACTTCCCGCCCAACCTAACAAGGAGACGGATCCAAGAGCTCCCCCGCTCTGTCTGTTTGGCAAAGACAGGCAGACAGAGAGAAGCAACATGAGTGAGAGGACCAGCATTTAGCCGTACATTTATGACTAGGACTCAGATCAAGCAGAGAGTATAAAATCATTTGTGTCTTTTTATAGTTTTATAGCCAACTGTGTGCTAGTTTAAAGTGCTAATCTTGTACACCGGGACTAATAACCACGCACACTGAATTAACTTTGACTGAGGCACCAGATGCGCCGCTCGGAGCCACGACACGGCACACTAGACAAGCACATTCGGATGTTATTTAAAATGAAACTATTCAGATGGAGCTCTGTGGCACGGCTGAAATAGGAAGTGTCCCGAATTGTGGCTGGGCGCCGCGGACTGCTGCCGACTTGAACGCCATTGTGTGCACCCTGATAGAAACCTATGTTTAGAATTCTAAAATGCATGGCGCTGCGTGATGCGACACTGAGCGGTGCTTCTGGTGTGCGGCCTGCAGGCAACGTCGTTATTTTATTTTCAATTGAGGGCACACGTAAGGCAACGCGCTCGCACTTTCCAGCTGCACCTAGTTAAGATCACAGGGAGCTTCTGTGACCGCGAGAAATGCAAAAGGCTGAAGTTTAAGGTAGACGCATTGAAAAGTACACGTTTGCAAACCTACCTACAAACAAACTAAGTTACAAACAATAATTCCCATTACAGCGATCATGTGGTGAATGTTGATCTTGTGTTGAGCCCAATGAGCCTTATATCTAAAAATAGAGCAAGGGTGTTCCTTTGGTGACATCGCTTTGACTCACACGCTGAAAATGGCGGACGTGGCCTGTCAATCAATATTGGTGAGCGGGGGGCGCACTCCTACATTAAGTTGCGGTCAGTCTCAAAACCGCTCCATTTGGTCCACCGTTTTTATGTTGTTAAATTGAAAAAAAAAGGACGGTGTGTTTATAATACCCCAATATGACAGTCTATACACTATACCTACACATATGTCTGTCCAAACCATAGGTGCCTTTTAACATTTTAACGCTGTTATAAGGAGACTACAGAGTCTTTAAGCATGAGCAACTCAATTATTACCTCAAACAATTTACTCAAAATACTAATTCACACAGGAATTTATCTTTCTCATAAAGTCACTGAATTATTATTTGAACAGACTCAGTTATAACACTGACAGTTTGTTGCTCAGATACACAATAGTCTGTAGTGCAAGCAGAGCAAAAACAGAGCACCATTGCATCTTAAATTACTTATTATTCATTCATTTTCCTTCGGCTTAGTCCCTTTATTCATCAGTGGTTGCCACAGCAGAATGAACTGCCAACTTACTCAGCATATGTTTTACACAACGGTTGCCCTTCCAGCTGCAACCCAGTAGCTACTTAGAAACAACCATACTCACTTATTCAAACACATACACTACGGCCAATTCAGTTTATTCAATTAACTTATATCGCATGTCTTTGTACTGCGGGGGAAACCGGAGCACCCTGGGGAAACCCACGGCAACACGGAGAGAACATGCAAACTCCACACAGAAATGCCAACTGACCCAGCTGGGACTCGAACCAGCAAGTGCTAACCACTGTTGCTGTTTACTTACACTTTACATTAAGTAGATTAATAATGACAATTAAAAAATGTAATACTGACTCTAATATACAATATGAGTACATTTATTGTTAATAACGTTTCTGCTGTTCATACAGTGATCTGCATTTGTCCTAGGTCAGTTCAGGTTACGGAGGTCACCTCTGAGGTCAGAGGTCACATATCTGGAGCTAGCAGTGGTTGTTGGTCCTGATGTCTACGAAGTTCATCGGCAAGACACTGAGAGATACATCTTAACCAACCTCAACATTGTATGTGTTTGTCTAATCTCAAGTCTTGCTTGTGATTATATACTTATTTACAATAACTTTGACAAATATACCATACACTACCTGACAAAAGTTTTGTCAACTATCCAGGTTTTAGGAATAACCCATACTTGCTTGACTTTTAGTTGATCATTTGGTATCGGAAGTGGCTTATATGAAAGGCAAAGGCCTCTAGAGTACGCTTATTTTACCAAAATAAAATAAGTTCATGCCTGAATTTTAAATTATTCAATTACGACAATAAGGTCTGACTTTGATTAGACAAGTCTTGTCACTTAAGAGAAACAATGTACAGTATAGAACATGGGTGGCCAACCCTGTTCCTGGTGAGCCACCTTTCTACAGATTTCAGTTGCAACCCATATTAAACACACCTGCCTGTAATTATCACGTGGTGTTCAGGTCCTAATTAATTGGTTCAGGTGTGTTTTATATGAGTAGCAACTGAAATCTGCAGGAAGGTAGCTCTCCAGGAACAGGGTTGGCCCCCTGGTATAGAATGTAAAGTCATGGTGCAGTGGAAAAATAATTTAATATTGTATATGACTACCATAAGCTTAGACAATGGCATCCATACATGCAATGACTCAAATATTTATTAATAAAGTCATCTGGAATGGCAAAGAAAGCATTCTTGCAGGACTTCCAGAGTTCATCGAGATTCTTTGGATTCATCTTCAATGCCTCCTCCTTCATATTACCCCAGACATGCTCAATAATGTTCAGGTCTGATAACTGGGCTGGCCAATCCTGGAAAACCTTGACCTTTTTTGCTCTCAGGATCTTTGATGTGGAGGTTAAAGTATGAGGAGCAGTGCTATCCTGCTGAAGAATTTGTCTTCTCTAGTGGTTTGTAATGTAATGGGCAGCACAAATGTCTTGGTACCTCAGGCTGTTAATGTTGCCATCCACTCTGCAGATCTCTCGCACACCTTATACTAATGTAATGTAACCCCAAACCATGATTTTTCCTTCACCAAACTTGACTGATTTCTATGGAAATCTTAGGTCCATGTGGTTTCCAATAGGTCTTCTGCAGTATTTGTGATGATTTGAATCCAGTTCAACAGATGATTCATCAGGCAAATCTACTTTCTCCCACTTTTCCAAATGATCAACTAGAAGTCAAGTTATTGTCTTTCGATCTTATAACTTAGATCGACGACTTTTGTCAGTTAGTGTATGGTATAAAAGTAGTGCAAAAATACTGTTATTAAATATCTACTGTACACTTGCAGGCCTCTGAGCTTTTGAGAGATGTTACCCTCGGTGCCAATATAAGGGTTCACCTTGTCCGTATGATCATTCTTACAGAGCCAGAGGTATAAGTGACCTAATGTTGTACACAACAGTTATCATGTTAGCCACTAGCAAAATAAAGTTTGTTTTAATCCACAGCCAGACATCCAGATCTCAGAAAACATCACATCATCTTTAAAAAGTGTTTGCGAATGGGGTCAGAAGGTCAATCCTGATGCTGACAGTGATCCTTTACATGCAGACCTACTGTTATATATTACCAGGTGTAGCCTCTAAAAGACTCTCACACTACTTAAAACTATTTTTTCAATATTGTACAAACCATTTATTAAATTCTAGATATTATATTATATTATATTTATATTATATTATATAGTAAATATAATTTTCTTCCAAACAATTTTAAAAATAATAAATGTTTCTTCATATTTGCTGTTTAGTAACTCTCTTTGACATCACTAAGGTTTGATTTGGTGTTACCCAATGGGAATAAGCTTGTGAGAGGTGTAACTCAATTTGGTGGAGTCTGTTCCACTCAATGGAACTGTGTTATTACGGAGGATACAGGCTTTGATCTTGGCATCACTATTGCTCATGAGATTGGCCACAGGTGAGCTTGAGAACATTAGGTATATCCAGTAACTAAAATTTAAAAAAAAAAAAAAATTGCTGAAATATTTTAAACCATGTTTTGCCTTATTGTTTCATCAGTTTTGGCATAAATCATGATGGAATAGATAACACATGCAGTTCTAGTGGCTTCATGATGGCATCTGATGGAGGTTATAACAGCGTGGATCTCACCTGGTCCCAATGCAGCAGGGCTCAGCTCTACAGCTTCTTCAGGTGTCACTCACTAAATTCATCTTTTTATTATATATATGTTTTTAGCTTTCTTTGCAGCATTTAAAATTTAAATCATTAGTGGAGCTGCTGAAAATTTCCATCACCTAAATATATTACATAAAATATATTACAATAGAATCATTAATAATAATGCTGTTGTACTACATTTTCAAAAAGACAGCCTGTGTGTGTTAGAGACTTCTTTACATTTTTTTGCTTTTAAATCTTACAGACAAAACCAAAATAACTTTTTTTCATAAATGAGAGTTTTCCTCCTAACATAATTGTTTTCGTTCCCTGCTATGTAGTGCTGGTAAGGCAGAGTGTGTTCAGGATGTGCCAGTGTTGGGTGGTTCAGTGCAGGACTGGAGGCCTGGTCTTTTCTATGGAGTGGACGATCAGTGCCGTATAGCATTTGGCAGCTCAGCAACTGCTTGCTCTTTCACTAATGAAGACATGGTGAGTGAGAATGACTCTCAGTAGACATGTTTTTTTTTTCTGTGCAAATCATCAAAAACTCTCCTAAAATGTCCACATTTGATGTCTGATTGGTTTGCATTCAGCAGATTGTTGTGTGTTAAAAATGTGGAGATGTGAATGGAGAGAGACTGGTCTGTAATTCTCAACCAATGAGATGTTGAGTTTAGATTTTTTGAGCAGAAGGGTTACCCATGACCTGCTTAAAAATGGTTGGGAATGAATGTTACAGTGTGAAGTAAAATGTTGATGTGTGTTAGGGTCAGCACTATGGCCGTGGAATTGTCTTGCAAGATGTGTGACGGGATTGGGTCTAGAGGGCAGTTTGTGGGATTGGTAGAGTGGAAAGTTTGAATTCTTCTTCCTCATTAAGGAGGGAGATTTAGAAGAGTGAATTTCTGAGGGTGTTGTTTGATGGAGATTTGGATTGTATGTCGTGGAAAACAGCCTTTATTTGAGTGTTTTTCTGGGAAAAAAGTGGCCCTGTGAAAAATCCTCACCTCATAAGGAGGTAGTGGGAGCAGGCAGGTGCATAAGTAGGGCTTAACCTGAACAGGTAGGGCACATGCCTTTTTTCCCTTGGAAAAAAAATGCCCCTCGCGATCATCCAAATTCTCCTCCTCTCAGAACATCTCTGAGATGTCTCTCAGCACATCGGACAGCACAGGTGTCAAATTCAATTCCTGGAGGGCCACAGCTCTGCACAGTTTAGTTTCAACTCTAATTAAACACATCTGATTAAACTAATTCAGTCATTCAAGCTTGTTTTCAATGTGTTGAAGCAAGGTTGGAACTAAACTGTGCAGTGCTGTGGCCCTCCAGGAACTGAGTTTGACAACCCCAGATTAGAGGAAAAAGAGAGCATTGGCCTGGTGGAGAAAGAACAGATCTACACAGAATATTAAAGTGGAACAGAATGCTTCTGTTGCACTTATAACATCAAGAGGTGAGAACTGTGTGTGTGAAGGAAGAGAGGATGTGAGGAGGACTGGGAGGACAAATTGTGTCTAAAAGAGATTGGTTGGGAGGGTGGCTGTGTGGTTTTGGGGAGCAGTCAAATGTAATGCTAAAACAGAGTGCAGTGCTATGGAGACTGCATCTTCTGTGCTCCTGTTGCCACGGTAGGCAAACTGATGTGGGTCCAGTGTGGATGGCAGAAAGTCTTTCAGGTGTGCCAGGACCAACCGCTCGAAGCACTTCATGATGATAGGTGTGAGTGCTACAGGGCAGTAGTCATTCAGGCATGTTGGGCTGGAGTGTTTCGGCACTGGCAAAATAGAGGTGGTTTTAAAGCATGTTGGCACAGCTGCTAGGTTAAGCGATAGGTTGAAAATGTCTGTGAATACCCCAGCGAACTGTTCTGCACATGCTTTGAGGAAGCACCCAGGAATACTGTCTGGTCCAGCAGCCTTACGCACACTGATCCGACTCAGTGCGGTGTAGACTTGTGAGGAGGTGAGTGTGATAACTGAGTGGTCGGTTGAGGATGTGATCCTGGTGTAGGGCAAGGGTTCGTAAATCGATTGAATGAATTTGCCATTCTAGCACAAGTTGTTAGTAAATCTGGTCCAAGTGTGATCCCAAGTTCCATCTGTGGTTTCCCCTTATTTTCCAAAATCTGAGATAATTTTTGCAGTCTCAGTTTGAAATTTTCATCTTTGGAAAAGCCTTTAGCTGATTCCATCTATCTGTAGGTGTTACTCATCATCACAAATTTTTTTGTATTGCTTCGGGTTAAGTCAAGTGTTGGCCCTATGGTGTTTTCTGGTGCCTTCACGTCTTCTTCTTTCATCACCACTGTAGGTTGGGCTCAGAACTAAGCCATGCTCCTTATCTCCATCTTTCCTGCTGTAGTTCACTATCATACTGGCTATCTTTTGCGTGGCTTGGGGGTCTCATCCATCACAGGGTCATCTGTGGTCTCTGTTACAGGCAACTCCTTTATGGGAGTCAACTTCTAATGGTTTCTCCTGACACTTTCCTTTCATTAGAAAGTGATCTCGTTTAGGTGTCTACAGCCACCTTCTTGGGGTTCTATCTATACTTGTCATACTTGTTTTTCATTTCTGCTCATTAGATTGCCTTGTGCACATATATCCGTCAATTCTATTAGTCCTTCGCCTGGGCTTGTTAGTGTCACATCCTCAGTCTGATCATGCTGTCTGTTCCCCATTTCTGTTTACTTCTGGTGAGCGCACGTGAATGTTTATTTTGATCGCTCCCCGTATCTCTCCTCCCTCTCGTTACCCTATTTACCATCTATTAAGATTGATTTTCACTCACCTGCACCCTATCAGTGATTCCTCTCGTGTCCTATTTATTCCCCTCCTTGTGTGTAGTCCAGTGCTAGATTGTTGTTTTGCGAGCGCGCCCACGCCGAGCCGCTCGCGTCTGGTCTCGTCTTGTCTCCTGTCGTGGCTCTCCTGTCCTTTCCAACTCTGTCTTGTTGTGCTGCTCCACGCCAGAACCATCTTCTTGCACTTTGCCTCTCCTTAACCTCCTCTGTTCCCAGGCCGGACTGCTTCAACCTCTCGGAGCCCATCGGCTTCAACTGACTGCCGGCTTCCTCTCCCTCGCTCACGCTCCACTTCCGCATTCCCCTCACGGCAACGTACCAGCACGCCCCCTGCCGGGTAACAGTATCATAGACGCTATTGTTTGCATTTATTTTTGGATTTCCCCGGCTGTCTTTTGCTTTCTCTTTTTTGAAGATTGTGAACTGGGCGCCCCCTTTTGGATTTATTTGGTGACAGGACCCGGTCTCTGTTGTCAAGGACTTAACAGCGCCCTCTTCTGGGAGTTTTTTTTTTATGCAGTTTTTTTGTTTTTGTTTTTCTCCTATTTTTTTCTGCAAACGCCCAGTTGGATTTGATTTGCACCCTTTTAGGGTAATTTTTTGATCAAGAATAAAAACTCTTAACCTGCACTTGTGTCCGCCTGTGTTCCCTGACAGAACAATCTAGCCAGAAATGGACGCAGCAGGTTCGGATCCAGTCATTACTGCAGTCACCCAGCAGGGTGTGCTGCTAGGGCAGCATGAGGCAAGGTTGACCAACACCACCAGGGAGATGGAGTACTTGGCCAACCAGGTAGCTGATTTAACCGCACGGATCCGTGAGTTGCAGCACGACACAGCCCAGGGGGGGCAAGCGGATCCTGGCCCTCAGCATACACGTGAACCCCGATGCAACAACCCACCACCTTACGATGGGGACCCCAATTCATGTAGAGCCTTCCTCTCTCAATGCTCTGTGGTGTTTGCCTTACAGCCACACACCTACGCTGCTGAAAGAACCAAGGTGGCATACGTTCTGACGCTGCTCGCAGGCAAGGCCCGTGATTGGGGAACATCAGTCTGGGAAACCCAAGCTCCCTGTTGTGCATCGTTCGAAGACTTCAGACAAGAGATGGTGAGGTTGTTCGATAGATCTGCTCAGGGGCAGGAGGCAGCGGACCAGTTGGCTCGGTTACGCCAGGCAGGCCGGTCAGTCACAGAGTATGCCATCCAGTTTAAGACCTTGGCGGCTTCCTGCGACTGGAATCAAGGGGCCTGCATGTCCATGTTTCGAGCGGGGCTTGAAGAGGAAATCCAGGACGAGTTGGCCACCATCGACCTTCCCCAAGATTTTGATGATCTCATTAGTATGGCCCTACGGGTAGAAGGACGTCTGCGCCGCCGTCGTCAACGTCCAGTCTTCCGCCCACCCTGGAGGATGGAGGACACTTCCTCTGCTGTTCCTGAGGCTGCTAATGCCACCTCCTTGGGTTCAGAGCCCATGCAGGTGGGGCGTCTTCGGCTGACTCCCCAACAGAAACAACAGCGCCTTATCCAGGGCCTGTGCTTCTACTGCGGCAAGCCAGGGCACTTTGCAGTGGCCTGTCCGTTAAAAGCCGCGGCTCGCCAGTAAAGAGGGGGATCCTGGTGAGCGCTACCCCTTTATTGAATTCCCCCTCCTCTCGTACTGTTCTCCCTGTATCTGTCCAGTTTGGTGACTCTTTTAATTCTGCCTTGGCCTTGGTCGATTCCGGGGCCGAAGGTAATTTTATGGATAGTTCTTTAGCTACCTTGTGGGGAATCCCTGCACTCCCTCTTTCCAATCCTATCCCTGCTCGCTCTCTTAATGGCACCCTTATCACCACTGTATCCCATACCACCCCTCCCCTCCATCTCATTGTCTCGGGCAATCACCATGAGGTTACCACGCTGCTTCTCCTAGATTCGCCTAGTGCCCCCATAGTTTTGGGGCATCCATGGCTGGTGCAGCATGGCCCTCATGTAGATTGGTCGAGTAATTCAGTTTTGTCTTGGAGTCAGCATTGTCTTGCTTCGTGTTTGGGTCCTGCTGCTTTTCCTGTGTCTGTGTGTCCTGTCTTACAGGTGGAGGCAGCTGATCTCTCTGGGGTACCGGCGGAGTACCTTGACCTGCGCCGGGTGTTCAGCAAGTCTCGGGCCACTTCCCTGCCTCCGCATCGTCCTTATGATTGTGCCATAGAACTCCTCCCAGGCACTTCTCCGCCCAAGGGTCGTTTATTTTCCCTTTCTGGTCCAGAGAGAGAGGCCATGGATAGGTATATCAATGAATCACTCAAAGCCGGTCTCATCCGACCCTCTTCCTCCCCCGCGGGTGCCGGGTTCTTCTTTGTCAAAAAGAAAGATGGCTCCCTGCGTCCTTGTATTGATTATCGAGGGCTCAATGACATCACTATTAAAAACAGGTACCCCTTACCTCTCATGTCTTCTGCCTTTGAACTTTTGCAGGGAGCCAAGGTCTTTACCAAACTTGACCTCCGGAATGCTTACCATCTTATCCGCATACGAGAGGGGGATGAGTGGAAGACCGCCTTTAACACGCCTACGGGACACTTCGAGTACCGGGTCTTACCGTTCGGTCTGACCAATGCCCCGGCGGTCTTCCAGGCCTTGGTCAATGATGTGTTGAGGGACATGGTTAATCGTTTTGTCTTTGTGTACCTTGATGATATCTTGATATTCTCTCCATCTTTAAAGGTACACACCCAACATGTCCGCCAAGTGCTACAACGGTTGCTGGAGAATCAGCTTTATGTTAAGGCGGAGAAGTGCGTTTTCCACGTCCAGTCGGTCTCGTTCTTGGGATTCATTATTTCGGCTGGAGAGATCCAGGCAGACCCCTGTAAGGTAAAGGCAGTCGCCGAGTGGCCAACTCCAGACTCTCGTAAGGCTCTGCAGCGGTTCCTGGGGTTCGCCAACTTTTATCGGCGCTTTATCAGGAATTTTGGTCAGATCGCTGCACCCTTAACAGCCCTCACCTCTCCCAAGGTACCGTTCAAATGGGAAGTTGATGCTCAGGAGGCCTTTGATAAATTAAAGTCCCGTTTTGTCTCTGCTCCTGTTCTATCTATTCCAGATCCTGAACGGCAATTTATTGTTGAGGTGGATGCTTCGGACGTCGGAGTAGGCGCAGTCTTATCTCAGCGGTCACGCCTGGATGGAAAAGTGCACCCTTGTGCATTCTTTTCCCATCGCCTGAATCCTTCAGAGCGAAATTACGACATAGGTAATAGGGAATTGTTGGCAGTCAGGTTGGCCCTGGGGGAGTGGCGTCACTGGTTAGAAGGCGCAGCTCAGCCTTTCCTGGTCTGGACGGATCACAAAAACCTTGAATATATCCGTTCAGCCAGGAGGCTGAGCTCCCGACAGGCTCGCTGGGCCCTCTTCTTTGGGCGATTTAATTTTACCTTGTCTTACAGACCTGGGTCCAAAAATATTAAGCCAGATGCTCTCTCCCGTCTGTTTGAGGCCCCAGGGGAGAGGGAACCACCCGACACCATTTTACCCAAGGAGATGGTGGTGGCATCTCTCTCTTGGGAAATTGAAAGACGGGTTGAGGAAGCCAGGAGGACAAGTCCAGGACCGGGGAGGGTCCCAGCGGGATGTCTCTTTGTCCCTACCAAGATGCGCTCTGAAGTAATCCAGTGGGGTCACTCCTCTAAGTTGACCTGTCACCCAGGAGTCAGGAGATCACTGGCTGCCATCCGTCAGCGATTCTGGTGGCCATCCATGGCCAAGGACGTCAGGCAGTTCGTGGCCGCCTGCTCTGTTTGCGCTCGGAACAAGAATTCCAATGCGCCTCCCATTGGTCTGCTCCGCCCCCTTCCCATCCCATCCCGCCCCTGGTCACACTTGGCCCTTGATTTTGTCACCGGCCTACCAGAATCTAAAGGCAACACCGTCATTCTCACGGTGGTGGACCGCTTCTCCAAAGCGGCCCATTTCATTCCCCTTCCCAAACTCCCCTCAGCCAAGGAGACTGCTCAAGTGGTGATTGATCATGTTTTCCGGATTCATGGTCTTCCGGTCAATGTGGTTTCTGATAGGGGCCCTCAGTTTGTCTCCCGGTTTTGGAAGGAATTCTGTCGACAGATCGGGGCCTCTACGAATCTGTCTTCAGGATTTCATCCCCAGACCAATGGGCAGTCCGAGCGGGCAAACCAGGATTTGGAACGTACTCTCCGCTGCCTGACGTCCCACAATCCTGGCTCTTGGTGTCAACAATTACCTTGGGTCGAGTATGCCCATAATTCTCTTCCTTCATCTGCCACAGGTATGTCCCCGTTTCAATGCTCTATGGGGTTCCAACCTCCTTTGTTTCCCTCTCAGGAACCCGAAGCTGCAGTTCCGTCTGCCCTTGCTTTCGTCCAGCGGTGTCGACGCACCTGGAAGAGAGCCAGGGAGGCCTTGGCCCAGGCTAATAAACGGACCAAAGCAGCAGCTGATCACCACCGGACTCCCGCTCCTCGTTACAGATGTGGTCAAAGAGTGTGGCTTTCTACCAAGGACCTGCCTCTCAGGGTAGCCTCACGCAAGTTGGCTCCCAGGTTCATTGGCCCATACCGGATCACCAAGGTCCTGAGTCCGGTGGCGATACGGCTCAAGCTCCCTCCTATGCTTGGTCGGGTGCACCCTACCTTTCATGTGTCAAGGGTTAAACCTGTATTGTATTCACGTCTTGTTCCCTCTGCCCCCATTCCCCCTCCCCCCCGTCTAGTGGATGGCTCCCCAGTTTACACTGTGCGGAGATTGCTAGACATCAGACGCAGAGGTCGGGGCTTTCAATATTTAGTGGACTGGGAGGGTTATGGTACGGAGGAGAGAAGCTGGGTCCCGGCTCGGGACGTTCTGGATCCGGCGCTGGTCGAGGATTTCCGTCAACGGCAAGGTAGGCCCCCCCATGCAGCGCCTGGTGGCGTTCGTAGAGGGGGGGGTACTGTCACATCCTCAGTCTGATCATGCTGTCTGTTCCCCATTTCTGTTTACTTCTGGTGAGCGCACGTGAATGTTTATTTTGATCGCTCCCCGTATCTCTCCTCCCTCTCGTTACCCTATTTACCATCTATTAAGATTGATTTTCACTCACCTGCACCCTATCAGTGATTCCTCTCGTGTCCTATTTATTCCCCTCCTTGTGTGTAGTCCAGTGCTAGATTGTTGTTTTGCGAGCGCGCCCACGCCGAGCCGCTCGCGTCTGGTCTCGTCTTGTCTCCTGTCGTGGCTCTCCTGTCCTTTCCAACTCTGTCTTGTTGTGCTGCTCCACGCCAGAACCATCTTCTTGCACTTTGCCTCTCCTTAACCTCCTCTGTTCCCAGGCCGGACTGCTTCAACCTCTCGGAGCCCATCGGCTTCAACTGACTGCCGGCTTCCTCTCCCTCGCTCACGCTCCACTTCCGCATTCCCCTCACGGCAACGTACCAGCACGCCCCCTGCCGGGTAACAGTATCATAGACGCTATTGTTTGCATTTATTTTTGGATCTCCCCGGCTGTCTTTTGCTTTCTCTTTTTTGAAGATTGTGAACTGGGCGCCCCCTTTTGGATTTATTTGGTGACAGGACCCGGTCTCTGTTGTCAAGGACTTAACAGCGCCCTCTTCTGGGAGTTTTTTTTTTATGCAGTTTTTTTGTTTTTGTTTTTCTCCTATTTTTTTCTGCAAACGCCCAGTTGGATTTGATTTGCACCCTTTTAGGGTAATTTTTTGATCAAGAATAAAAACTCTTAACCTGCACTTGTGTCCGCCTGTGTTCCCTGACAGTTAGTGCATAGCACTAAGTCACATTAACTTGTGTGTGGCATTCTTTTTTGAGTTATAGTTAAGCTGCAAATAGGTCTGCTGTGCTTAGAACGGCTAGTCGAAAAAAGATCACAATCTCGGTTCGACCTCCTAGACGATCTTAATCCAGCATTTCTATGATTCTGCCAATCATATTTTCAAGTTCAGGAGAGAAGCAAAGGAGGCTGCAAACCAGCGAGTCTTTTTATTGTTTTACACACATTGTTTAGCAACATGGACACCTCCAAATGATGTTGACAGAGTCACATACTGTATTTTTAAGGTATAATTCACCCAAAAATGTAATTTTGTCTTAATTCAATGATGTATTCACGGCCAGGAAATCACAAATGACGTGAGCTGTTACCACAGAGAGGGCGTGCTTGCACCCTACTTAATGATGTACGCGTGCGTGTCTACTTTAGTAATCAGAACCTGCATAGGCTGTGAGTAACAGGTAATAAAGTTGTAAAAAACATTCAGTTTGTGGCACAGAGTGATCGTTTGTGAGCCACGCGCGAAGTATAAACAGCACTTAGCAGTGAAAATGAAATCGAAAGCACGCACATCATTTAAATAATCATTTTGCATTTTAGAGTTATGATTGTGTCAAGCATTTGATATGTTTTCCTTCACAGTAAACAGAATTGTGCATAAAAATAAATGTTTACAGTGTCAGTTTACCTACTCTAGCCTATATATTGTTGAATATTATGTAAGAGGTAATCTGATAATGAAAAAAAACTGTTTTACCAGTGAATAAAAGGGTCTGATAATGTTGTCAATGACAGATTGCAAGCATATATCACAAACATAATAGTTCAACATCAGAATTATTATAATTAGAATAGAATTATTTCTAGAAACCAGTAGACCTACACATAATAGGATTGTTGTTTGAGATATCCGCTTGTTAAGTGCTGACGTGTTTGTGACGTATGTAATACTGTTTCCGGGTCCAAGCCGCCACTCATTTGAGTGGAGAAATCATTTGTTTATGATCATGTTTTATTCCTATCACACATTAAAGTTAATTTTATATAAAATCATAGTGTACACAACAATCTCTGGGGTTGCTGCATAACAAATACCAAAATTTTAACAATTTATAAAAAAATAATCGCTTTCAGGCCATCGGATATTAGGCATGGACATATATACTGCGACCGGGATTTTCGAAAGCCTTAAATCGCTTTGTAAACGTTTATTATTACCATTTTTATGAGTCTCCTCATTCAGTTGAATAGAGCACTTGGACCCGGAAGCCGCTTCACGTGACGTCACACTTAACAAGCGGATAACAATAATAATAGCCCACTCATATTAACCTTTATTTTACATCTACAGAATCGTGAGAAATTCGTGATCTGTATTTTAAGCAAACAAATCGCAATTCTTATTTTAGTCAGAATCGTTCAGCTCTAGCCTCTGCTTCACCTTGTCTTCTGCCTCAAAAACCATGTAATAGATATAACATAAGGCACAAATCTGATTAATTCTGATTTCTTTAGAATTTTCAGATTGATTTGACTATGAAAATTAAAAATGACTTTATTTTATTTTTTTTACTGGTGTCAAGACAACTTGCCGTGTTCTGTCCTGCCATATCAACCCTCAGGATCATAGCTCATGCACTCGTCTTCTTGTGCCACTCCTGGATGGAACAGAGTGTGGGCCCAGTCAGGTGACAAAGCAATGAATTTACTGTAAATCATTAGGAATAAATATTTATATTCATCTTCACATAGTTTTGCATTTGTCATTTTATTTTCAAATTACATTTTATTCATGTACATGTGTTAATAGTCTCTTTTTGTATTGTTTTAGTGGTGTTTAAAAGGTCGGTGTGTGTCCCCTTCTACTTCGGGCTCTTCCATGATGGTGCATGGCTCATGGTCTGCATGGTCTGACTTCTCTCCTTGCTCACGAACATGTGGAGGAGGAATCACTCACCGCAGGAGGCAATGCAACAACCCTAGGTGCGAGAGAAAGATAATGGGACAATAAAGCTAAGTGTATGAATAAAAGTAGAATGAACATCAACTATTCTGGCATATGTTTCACGCAGTGGATGCCCTTTCAGCTACAACCCAGTACTGGGAAACACCCGTACACTCTCTTATTCACAAAAACACTCATAAACTAGTTTATTCAATTCCCTTCTACAGCATGTCTTTGGACTGTGGTGGAAACTGGAGCTCCCAGAGGAAACCTAAGCAAACATGGGAGAACATGCAAACTCCAAACTTTATGGTACAGGGTTGATGTTTCACTTCATGTTCGCCCATGGTGAACAAAATCAGTCCAGATGTAGTCACTGTTAGACAGAAAAGATCACAACATTGCAACAACTGAGTAGCCATTTACAAAGAAGGTGTCTTTGTGTCGGAAAATGTGATGTACAACACTTAAAAGTAATTTCACTATGTCACAGTTGTTATGCCAACTTTCCACACAGATGCTCATAAGTGTGATGGTATGGGTGCGGGGGACACTTTCATTTTGAGTGGGCACTTTGGTGCATAGCTCTGCCATCTTATCCCTTTTGAAAAATGGTTTATTTTGTGCTTTTACATCTAAATAAGTAAATTGTTCTAATGCTTTAGCTGAAGCATTATAAATATAATGCAAATAGGAGAAGAGCTTCCAAAATCTTTGCCCTATTGATTTATAGTGAAGCTTTTTTTTTGTTTCAGGCCAGCCTTTGGTGGAACCATCTGTAAAGGACAGGATACAGAAGCTGAACTTTGTAATCTTCAGGTAACAGTAACTGGTCATGTTATTCTTGGCATCTGTAAGTCATGTTGTTCAAGAGTTTTAGGGTTGTCAGCACTGGTGTCAAAAGTATTCACATTCATTACTCGGGTAGAAGTAAAGAGACTACGGTTAAAAAAGACTAAGTATCAACTCAAGATAACTCAAGTAAAAGTGTAGCAGTACTTGTTTCAAAACTACTTAATGTCAAGACTCCTGTTTTATATTTACTGCAATAAAGTCCTTGCTCCTTTCCCTAACCCAAACCGTGACAGTATAAACTGGCCAACTGAAGACACAGCAGTATGGGTTTAAAGCCCAGCTCTCTCCCAGCAAAGAGGACCCCAAGAGGACTGCCAAACCAGCAGAACCATTTCACTCATTTAGCGTATTCAATGAAGGTCTCCTTGAGGCAGTCCGGGGGCTTAAGTTCATAAGATGCTGACAGTTTGATAATCTTGGATATAAATATCACGGCTTCACAATATTACGATGTTGTGACTACTGCTCTAAAAATGTTCTTTTTAAATGTCTTTTTTCCCCATTGAACACAATAAATTTTATTTTAACATTTAAAATGTTTTGAAACAATCAACATGTCAGGCTAAATAATTAATATAAGTCATTGACTTCTGCTGTCTCCATTAGTTTGAAAAAAAAACTTATTTCTTTACAACTTGAAAAGTCATCTTTAGACATCTATTTTTCTTTGAATATAAAGTAAGTCACTGCACTGTTCAGGTCTATAGCATGCTTGTAAGTAGGTTTTAAGCGATTTGTTTCTCAAACGGTTCCTGAATCATGGACTGACCAGTAGCTTTTCATGTGGAGGGTTCTTTTCTGCTGGAGATACTGTTGCTCTAAAAAAAACTAGATAAAATAGTCGTAAAAACATTACAAAAACCTAAGGACGGTTTTAAAACTTAGATTTTTCAAAACCACGGTAAACCTTAAAACCTGTTATCATCCCATGCTTACACTCATCCACTTCTTTTTGACTGGATTGGATGAGCCATTTGATTGGGAGGAGCTGGGCGAACTTGGTAAATAGACTTATTAGGAGGTGGTGGATAATGCCTGTCTGAAGAAGGAGAAGGAGATCTTGCAGGGGGAATGGACCCCTCTCACCACCACCAGGACCACTTCTCAGTCCATGCCCAATCCCCAAGGTCTAATCTTCTCCCATAATCTGTGGCTGAAAGGCCTCTTCAGCCAAGGCAGCACCAGCCCCAATGCACTTGCCAGCGTTGGCTCATGCCCCAGAGCGCCTGCCAGTGATGGCTTCTGCCCCAAAGCACAGCTCAGTGCCCTGTCTAAACCAACAAGACTCCCTGATTAGGTGGCTTCCTGACCCCCTGATCCCACCCTGGTTTATGCCTCCGATCTCGCCCTGGTTTGTCCCTCCGGTCCCACCCTGGTTTGTCCCTCCGGTCCCACTCTGGACTGTCCCTCCAGTCCCACCCTTGTTCCTTATCTAAACCCCTGTTCCCGAAACCCTGTCCTTCCTGTTGGCCTTTTAGTCTCTATTCTAAACTTGTTTAAAGTTGCCATGAAATCAAAGTTGACTCTAGTATATAGTAGTTTTTGGCGGCACAGTGGTGCAGTAGATAGTGCTGTTGCTTCACAGCAAGAAGGTCGCTGGTTTGAGCCCCGGCTGGGTCAGCTGGCATTTCTGTGAGCATGTTCTCCCTGTGCTCATGTGGATTTCCTCCGGGTGTTTCCCCCTCAAGTCTAAAGATATGCGCTATAGGTGAATTGGGTAAGCTAAATTGTATCTTAGTGTATGTGTGGATGTCTTGGTCCCCCAGGTTGGGGGTTGAGCGTTGGGCTAATGACCCACCTCCTAAAAATGAGATGTTTCGAACCACTAACATGGTGTGGCTAAATCTCAACTTCAATATAAATGGCCTTGGGAGTAAGTAAATAGTACTTTTTTCAATAAACAATGTATCAATTAATAATTTCATAAAAAATAATTTTGCCTTAAAAACTTTAATCAAATTCCATAACCTTCCCTCCCCCTCAAAATAACTTTCTGGTCCCAAAGAATTCCTTAAGGGTAGTTATATAAATAACAGTCTCCTTTCTACTCTCAATTAATCCATTTGTTAATCTTTCTTCATTTTGTTAGCCACACCTGTCTTTTAAAAATCCAGTTGGTGCCCAAAGAACAAAATTATGCACCTCCTTACTTAAAAAAAAAATAAATAAAAAAAATTCAGGACTGTTTCAAGTGGATGTATGTCACGATAGGGGAAAACATGAAACCTTATCTTCCATTTTATGGCGACTTTAATGATCCTCTGCTGAGATTTTGAGATTGAATTTGTTTTATTTCAGTTGATTTAATGTCAGGCTATGACTGAAGGCAGTTGTAATTTTGTGCTTCTCTTCAATGATTCTGCTTGTTAACAGCAGGTGTTCATCACTGATGCTCAATCAACACATTATTTTTGTGCTTCAAAGAAATAAAGTCTTATACAGTTGATGGCAAAATTATTAGCCCTCTTTTAAAATAGTCAAACTTTCTTACAAATACTTCTCAAGTGATATTTAATGGGGAAAGAACTTTTTCACAGTATTTCGGATAATGTTTTTTCTTCTAGATAAAGTTTTATTTGTTTACTTTTGTAAGATTAAACACCTTTTTTAAATGTTTAATTCAATATTAATAGCCCTCTTAAGCAATATATATTTTAAATTAGCCACAGAACAAACTACTGTTGTCCAAGCACTTGCCTAATTACTAACTATTAACTATTTGGTTTGAGTGAAAATGTATGCAGGAAAAGTCATTAAAAAATGAACTTTAAATAACATTACTGCCTACAAATAAAAATATAAACCTGGTGCATTTATGGGAATATAATATATTTCTTGACATTGTTTGTCACAGCCTTGTGATTCAACTCAGCTTGAGTTCATGGCTCGGCAGTGCTCAGCCACAGACCAGCAGCCTCTGTCAGTATCTACAGACTCTAAGTCAATGTATACCTGGATCCCTGCTATAAGCTACAGCTCAGGTGCTCCAAATGAAGATCTTTCTATTGAAATGTTCTTTTTTTGTTGTTTTCATCTGATCTGATCTCTAGCTCTCCCTTCCTTTCAGGTGACTCTCAGTGTAAACTGATGTGTCGTTCACGTGAGCAGGACTTCATGGTGAGTCGTGGGTCTCAGTTCATTGATGGGACGCGGTGTGAATCTGATAATACCATACCACATGGGTCAATCTCTGCATGTCTAAGTGGAAAATGCCAGGTAATGATGCCACACTAAATCATATTTAAATTGTAATATTTAAAGTTATTTTCAAAGGTGGTTTCAATACTTAAATGCAGTTTCGTCATACTTTTTCTCATTTCATAAATTTCAAAATGGATCAGCTGTTTGGCTGTGATGGAGTATTGCATTCTGGAAAGGTGGAAGATGTGTGTGGGGTGTGTGGAGGCAATGGCTCCACCTGTCACTTAATTTCTAACACTTATTCAGGTGGAAAGGCTGGAGGTGAGTTATTGTTAGACATAATCAAAATTTGTCCCGTTTTTTTGGCATTAATTTAAAGCATATTAACCTCTCTTTTGGTATGTTGTCATCTAGAGTATGTGACATTCCTCACCCTTCCCCTGAATGCCTCTCAGGTTCATGTTTTCAACACACGGTCAATTTTTACACATCTTGGTGAGTACACAGTAGCTGTTAACACAACAGCAGAACACAATGAGCTTTATGCACTGATAGAGTTTTAAAGCCAAAGATAAACTTCTGGTGAAAGCCTAATGTGACCATATTCAATTTCACAAGGTTGTTTTTATAGCATTGATGTTGTAATGCAATTATAATATATTCAGTTAAGTAGACTTAAGCTTTCTTTCAGTTGTTCAAGCATAAAATGAGATGAAAGACCATTTTAACAACTAGCGTCGCCAGTAGCAACAGGCTAAAAAAACACTAGAATAAAAAATTATCAGTCATATTTTAAAGACATGGCAAGGGGAAATGAAACTTAATGCAGTGCTTTTTGTTTGATCGGTGACTGATATCCCACTTCATATTGTATATGGGTATGATATCCCACTTCATATTGTATATCTAACAGGCAGTGAAGATCGCTTATTTTTAAAGAAATCAGATCTTAAATGTGGTGATATTGTAATGGAAAGGCAGTTCACCGGAAGCCCTCGGGGCTGCCTGGCTGGAAATTAAAAGTCTGTGTACATATGGCCTGTTGACCTGCTAGAAGGGTTAAATTGTTATGTTTACACACTCATAGAATTAAAAGTAAAAAGCTGTCACTTTTTGTAGCTTGGGTTTTTTTTATTGAACAATTGCACATTTTACAAGAATGTGTACAAATCTTCATTATAAACATAACGAATTGTTCAAATTCCGACAGTGCAGGTGTTTTGACATAAACAAAACATAAACAAAGACGCACATCAATACATTTTGCCAGGGGAAGTTCAGGGGTCTGTTCTTTGTACGTGGATTACGCATTTAGCTGGATTTGTTGACGATTTGACATGATCCAGGATCATTTCGTTCTTCAAAGCCGATCCAAGAGTTGTTGTCATAGCAACAGTTCTGGTAGATCAAACCTGGTCGGGAGCAGGCTCAATTCATATAAACAGGAATAGATCGGGTCAGTTCAAGCAAAGATAATACTGAAAGTATGTACAGAATTCTGATATTTTCTTACAGTAGTTATATACACTTGGGAAAAGAGTAAATAGTTTTAACTATATATATATATATATATATATATATATATATATATATATATATATATATATATATAAAGTTAAAATATATATATATATATTAATAAAACTTATGCAATCTGCACTCCGAAATAAAAGTATAAAGACTGCCACCTGGTGGTGCAAAGAGAAACTTATTGATATGAACTTTTTAGATAGCTTTTGTACAATTTGTGTATAATAGACATGCACAATATGTGACTTTTTTTTTTTTAAAAGCAATAATACATATGCAGTCATAAACATGTTTTAACAGCTAATATACAAAATGCTTTTGTAAACATCCAGTTGGGATCTGCCAAATCATCTTACATCATTTTAGCGAGGTACGAAGAACAGACCCCAGATTTACAAAAAGATATAAAAGTGTTTACAAACATGCACAGTTTTTGTTGATTTTGATTTAGAGAATGCTTAATCGAGTTGACATATTGCTTGACCTCATTGTTAAAAGCATTAAAAGATGTTTTGGAATGCAAAAATTTACATTTATGAATGTAATATTTTGCCAAAGGAATAATGAGATCAATAGATTCATTAGGTATAGTCCTAGTTCTGCTGAAGTCATAAAGGCCAAAAAGAACATCCTTCCAAAACAGCTTGAAATCTTTCTCAATTTTTCTGCAATATTACAAATGTCAGATCAGAAACTTTGGACAAAGAGGCATTTGGAGCTATAGGGCTGCTTTAAAGACCCTTTTCACAATTACTTCACTTCCCCCATATCGGCAACGCAGTGTATTTCAGTTTCGCTTTACCTTTGAATGAATAGGATATTGGATATTATCTCTGGAAAATACAACTGAAAGTATTAGCATGGCCCGTTGTGATTTAAGACTATTAAAGTATTGTGCATGTGTCCAAATGTTTCTCTTTCAATACTGAACTGTTTTTTGTGTTGAAAGTAATTGTTTATATTATTAAAAATAGGAATAATCTATTGTTTATAAAGGAGAAAGTATGTTTTCAACCTTTTTACTTATCAATTAAGTTTATTTAATTAGGTTTTATTTTATTTAATCAATAATTAATTTATTTTTACTTTGATGCTGCTATGAATATAAATTTATATTATCTGTTATCTATTATATGTAAATGTTCCAGCATGAGTAAAATTCTTTAATAAATCTCCACAAATACATGGTAAGTATATCAGCTATAAATGCATTTATTTTCATCATTAATTATTTACGGATCTGTTAATGTTTTGTTCAGTTTCTCCATTTGAATAAATTAACAGTGTCCTGCTGCCACCTAGTGGGTGGATTACATTTGATATTAGTATTACCTTTTAAATAATGTTACAAATAATTTCATAATCTGATCATACTGAATTAAAATACAGTTTTAATAGAGTTTTTAATAGAGTTTTAAACAATTTTAGAGTTATTTTTGCAATTTTTATAATGATTTTGTTTGATTAGTAAGAGTCACATACAACATTGTTATTCTATTTCATTTCATTTAAATATTAAATAGAAATTAATGTTTATATTCATGAATAAACTACTTATATAGAATGTGAATAATATGAATGTGTTTGTGAATCAGATGTCAACAGTAAAACACCCACAATTGTATTTATTACATATTCTTTTGGACACAAAAAATAATAACAATAAATTTGACATTAAAAAAAATCAGCTCTGGTGAAAACATCTGTAATCTTTATATGATAAATGCTGACAAGTACATACCAACTTCATCTGCAGTAAAAACAGTGACACAAAGCAATACACTCAGTTTAAAGTATAGTTTTCTTGGTTCAAACAGAAATCTGGCAAACCTGTATGTTTTTATTTAGATGTCAGATATCTCATCTTGAAGGCAGACAACAGAAAACAGCCGTAGACAGTCTAACCATATCTGTAGTAAATATACAGCTGACAGGGTGAGTTCTACGTGAGGAGTTCTGTGTAGACGGAAGTAACAATACACTGCGTGGAGTGAAACCAGACACCATGTGATGTCAAGTAAAAAGGGTCTATTATGGGGAAAAAAAATAATCCTGATTATTTGGTCAGTATCGCAATGACAATTATTTTACTATTATTATTATTATTATGAGTTTAGGCAATTAGACCAAAACCATATATTATATACAGTTAGGTCCATAAATATTTGGACATTGACATAATTCTAACATTTTTTGGCTCTATAAATCAACACAATGGATTTGAAAGCAACAAGATTTGCCTTAATTGCATACTGTCAGCTTTAATCAGAGGGTATTTACTTCCGAATCAGGTAAACGGTGTAGGAATTACAACAGTTTTCAGATGTGCCTCCCACTTGTTAAGGGTCCAAAAGTAATTGGACAGAATAATAATCATAAATCAAACTTTCACTTTTTAATACTCGGTTGCAAATCCAAAAATCTGGAATGCAGAGTCATCAACAGACGCTGAGTTTCATTCCTGGTGGTGCTCTGCCAGGCCTCTACAGCAACTGTCTTCAGTTCCTGCTTGTTCTTGGGGCATTTTCCCTTCAGTTTTGTTTTCAGCAAGTGAAATGCAAGCTCAATCGGATTCAGATCAGGTGATTGACTTGGCCATTGCATAACATTTCACTTGTTTCCCTTCAAAAACTCTTTGGTTTTGCAGTTTGCTTTTTGCGTCATTCTCCATCTGCATTGTAAGACACTTCCAATGAGTTTTGAAGCATTTGGCTTGAAAATATTGCAGAAAATATTGCCTGATACACTTCAGAATTCATCCTGCTGCTTTTGCCAGCAGTCACATCATCAATAAATACAAGAGAACCAGTTCAATTGACAGCCATACATGCCCACGCCATGTCACTACTACCACTATGTTTTACTGCTTAAGATCATAAGCAGTTCCTTTCCTTCTCCATACTCTTCACTTCCAATCACTCTGGTATATGTTGATCATGGTCTCATCTGTCCATATGATGTTGTTCCAGCAACGTGAAGGCTTTCTTAGGACTCTAATCTGGCCTTCCTGTTTTTGAGGCACACCAATGGTTTACATCTTGTGGTGAACCCTCTGTATTCACTCTGGTGTAGTCTTCTCTTCATTGTTGACTCTGATACACATACACATACCTCCCGGATAGTGTTTTTGATCTGGCAAACTGTTGTTAAGAGTGCTTTCTTCAACAGGGAAATAATTCTTTGGTTGTCCACCACAGTTGTTTCCATGGTCTTCCGGGTCTTTTGGTGTTGGTGGGCTCACTAGTGTATTCTTTCTTTTTAAGAATGTTACAAACAGTTGTTTTGGCCACGCCTAATGTTTTTGCTATCAATCTGATGTATTTTTTATTTATTTTTTTTTGCCTAATGATGGCTTGCTTAACTGATGAGTGACAGCGTTTTGGATCTCATCTTGACAGTTGACAGTAACAGATTCCAAATGCATATAGCACACTTGAAATGAACTCTGGACCTTTTATGTGCTCATTGTAATTGGGAGAATGAGGAACCTTTTATGTGCTTATTGTAATTGTGAGAATGAGGGAATAACACACACCTGGCCATGGAACAGCTTAGAAGCCAATTGTCCAATTACTTTTGATCCCTTAACAAGTGGGAGGTACATATGCAAACTGTTGTACTTCCTACAGTGTTCACCTGATTTGAATATAAATACTGTCAAATTAAAGTTGACGGTAGTTGATTAAAGCACATATTGTTTGTTTAATTTCAAAGTTATTGTCTTGGTGTATAGAGCCGAAAATGTTAGAATTGTGTCAATGTCCCAATATTTATGGACCTAACTGTATATCCGTAAATTTCAGCAATCATGAAAATTCCCAATTCACCATACCATAGCAGAATTGGTAAATTCTAACACAAGCAGTAAATTCCTAAACACACACAAGCCAGTTTTCTTTAAATATAAATGTGACTGTATTGACTATTCTAACACAGCAAGTCTCTGAAATAACTGACTGTTCTTTAAGAGCTAGAAATACAAATGAAAATTTTGGAGGGAAAAAACATGAGTGATGCATAAAACAACTGTTAAGTAGAGAGGTTTAATAGGTTTAGTTTATTGTTCCATAATATACGTTAGATATTTTTAGTCAACATTGAAATGCATTAAGAAATTAAAAGGAAATGTAAAAGACGTAAAATGATAATGATTGACATGGTAGATTAAAAAGTGAAAGAATGTATTACTTATGGTGCTTTCCATGGTACAGCTTTTATTGACATAGCTCAGCACATCTGGGGTCACAACTTAGTTGTATTTATAGGAATGTTTATTTTCTTTTTAACCACATTTTGGACTCGTATACTGTAGTTAAAATTTAAAATGTTTCAGAGAGACTTCCGGGTTGGTCGGCAACATATGAAGTCGTGTTTGACTGATCTCCATACTGAATTACACATATTTTTAAATTACAAACACATTCTCAACCAGATTGTGGTGAATTCATGTAATTAAAACACCGGAGTCTGTTTAAAGGTGGTGTATATTTCATAATTTTCCTGTTTCTGGACTTTCTTTTTTTAATTGGCTATGCCTGGCATGTCCAGCAAAATTGATAAAGTGTTTTAAGACCTTTCATTTAAATCATCCTAAAACTACTAAACAACACCCATTGTTAGCATAATACAATTTTGAAAACTTCCAAATGTTTACTATTGTATACTCTAAGTGATTAATTAGTACCAGTTCAGTACCTCAGTCTTTTCCCTCTCACTTTATTTCACCTATGATCATTTTCAATAGCTTGACAGCTGTGACACAAAAAAGGAGTATGTGTGCATCTCATCTACTGACTGTAATATGGCCCTGTTAATTTGCATGTGACTGTCCATGGTGGTTGTTATTATTTATTTAAATCTATTGGTTTGTAGCAAATTCAGTGACATGGTTAGTGATGTTATTCTTTGGCAAATAAGTGAACTGCAATTTTTTGCATCCAATGTGTCGTTATAAATTTCTGTGGGTTTTTTTTTTTTAGAAACAGTCATACTACATTAATATACAGTAATAATATATCATCCTCTATCTATTGAACATGTTCTTACTGAATAAATATATTAATTTTCCATAAATATTGCATTTCTTAAAAAGTATGATATATTGCCTTGCTAAATAATAAATACTGTTTAAAGCTTATATGAAAAAATTCCACTTTTTTTGCAGCTGTGTTATTGAATGATAAATATATTGTTTCTGGAAATGGAAAGCCAGGGCTAAGCAATACATACCCCTCACCTCTGGAAAAGAGCCTTATAACCTATAAACTATACCTCACACCTGAACACCTACCTCAAACTGAAGAGCTCTATATTTCTGGACCAGTCACAGACAAAATCCACATACAGGTGCAGCATTTGGATTACATCTTTGTTACTGGACCTTTGCGGTTTGTCAATTTGAGAATGTTAATGATAACTACTGTTACTTCTAAAATTATCTTTTTAGGTGTATCGGAAATATGGACAAGAGTATGGAGACCTCACCAATCCAAATATCTCATACCAGTACTACTCAGATGATGTTATAGTGGAAATAGCTTCAAAGGGCAAATGGTCCACTACCATATCTGCCTGCTCAGTGACCTGTGGAAGAGGTAATATCCATTATCTTCTGAGGCACACACAATTTTAATTTAAAGAAATATATTGTCAGAAACAAATGTATATTTATGTAATAATATACCACAATCACAGGTAGCAGCATTTCATAGGTGAAGGGAATAGCAGCAATATAATTATATACAGTAGTAGCATTATGTACAGTAATAACATTATATTACTGCATGGCATTTTAGTGGCACGTGTCAGTGAATACCTATACCTATCTGGTGTAAACATCACATGAAAGAGCTAATATATTATCCATATGATATCAATATGATATTCAAATCATCCATTCACACTCACACACTACGGACAATTTAGCCTACCCAATTCACCTGTACCGCATGTCTTTGGACTGTGGGGGAAACTGAAGCACTCAGAAGAAACCCACGCGAATGCACGGAGAACATGCAAACTCCACACAGAAACGCCAACGGACCCAGCCGAGGACCGAACCAGCGACCTTCTTGCTGTGAGGTGACAGCGCTACCTACTGCGCCACTGCGTCACCTTTAGTAAACTCAAGTTAATCTATTTTAAATGTAGATGCACAGATAATGCAAACAAATAGTGAGAGGAGCCGACACGTCTCACACTTTTCATGTTTATATACATAAAATGTAAATGGACTTTTAAATAACAATACAGGACATAGAGCAAATTCTGCTCCTTGACATGGCTGTTTGTGATAAGAAGAAAACAAGCTTTGATTGGGCTTGGGCTGATTGTGGTTAGTTAAACACAGGCTCATTGTGGATGCGTACCCCTATATTTCATTTCTGGAGAATGCGAATTATGTAGCTAGATGTACGTATAGCTGAATTTTGTTTTTAAAATAAACGCTCCATCTTTTGTTTCTTTTTTTCTTTTCTTTTTTTTAATAGTTTTTTGGGGGGTTTTCACCTTTATTGGATAGGAAAGTAGAGAGAATTAACAGGAAAGCATGGGGAGCAGGGAGAGGGGAAAGATCGGCATAGACCCACGAGGTGGAATCAAACTCGGGTTGCCATGAGCGCAGGTTACAGGCTGAAAATGTGGTGAAGTTGGTGGTCACCACTGGATGGGTCAGTTGGTCAATCAGTCGAAAATTTAAGAATTTCTCAGAAATTTGAGATCACCAAAGTGTAAACAGTGGCCTCTGGTGGATTTTACGTATTTCGCTATCTTCAGAAATGTAGATCTGAGTATGTGTCTGTACTGACCCTGGGTTGGGTTCATTGCTGTGCACCATCATTGTATTATTATGGTGTTCTGTTTTGGCTGTGTATTTATAAATGGCACTTCCTGTTTTATTCCCTTGGCTTGTTGAATGCAAAAGTGACTATTCTCTGTAAACCAATAGCTACAAAAAAAGTGTCAAAATGTGTTTAGGGTATGGTTCGCTCCTTGGTACCTTTGAAATTGGAGATGGACAAAATGTATACCTGTACTGTACCAAACCATACTGCTCAATGGAAACTGGCCATAAGTAGCCTAATACAACCTGCCACCTAAAGAAATTCAAGGATTAAGCCAAAAGAGGCGTTGGTTGTGTTGTGTAAAAAAGATTCTGATTCAAGATTTAATAATAATAATAATTCCTTACATTTATATAGTGCTTTTCTGGGCACTCAAAGTGCTTTACACACAATGAGGGGGGATCTCCTCATCCACCACCAGTGTGCAGCATCCAGCTGGATGACGGGATGGCAGCCATTTTGTGCCAGACCGCACACCACACACTAGCTGATTGGTGGAGAGGAGACAGTGTTGAAGCCAATTGGAATATGGGGAGGGTTAGGAGGCCATGATGGACAGAGGCTAGTGGGGAGATATGGCCAGGATACCGGGGTTAAACCCCTACTCGTTTCGAAGGACACCCTGGGATTTTTAATGACCACAGAGAGTCGGGACCTCGGTTTAACGTCTCATCCGAAAGACGGCGCTCACTGAGCAGTATAGCGTCCCCGTCACTATACTGGGGCATTAGGTTGGGTGCTCCCTGCTGGCCTCACTAACACCACTTCCGGCAGCAACCTAGCTTTCCCATGTGGCCTCCCATCCAGATACTGACCGGGCGCAGCCCTGCTTAGCTTCAGTGGGCGAACATGTGAGAGTTGCTGAGAGCTAGCTGCCGTCTAGCTTTTTTGGTTTCTAAGTCAAAGTTTAAAAAAAAAAATAACGAAGTCTGCGATCTTCGAATTCTTTAGGCAAAGCAGTTTATTGTTACAGCATCAGTAACAACAAAGACAGGTCGTTCGAGTGTCTGATGAGTATAGGCTAGCACACAGTTTGAATACACTTCTTTGTCTTAACACTCAACCCAAATTTACACATTAGCACACCTCCATTAGCTTCCCCACTAATAGGATCTCAGATCTCCCAGATGCTTCTTCTAAAGATTTCTTTACCACCAACAGAATCTCAGGTTTTTTTGGGATCCTACCCATGACCAGTTAAGGTCTTCTCTTCCAGCTTCAAATGTGGCAATTCAGCAAATAAATGCTCAACAATATATCTTGTTCACTGTACATTAAGCTGTCATCTGTAAGTTCAGCTGAAGTTCACGATGTAGTTTTAGGGTCAATGTATTTTGGAAGTCATTTCAACTGATCGTGGGTGCAAGTCTGAGTGTGCGGGAGTGCAGGATCAGGAGTCGCACATGAAACAGAACGCAAGTGCCCTTATGACCTTACTTCCATACATCTACTCCCATTGTGGTATTTCATCCTGCTCTCCTAATTCTTTTCTCATCCCTGACTGCATTTGCACAAGGTGACTTTTTATATACCAAAGCACACATAAATGATAATAATGCCACAGGTATGAGTAATAATAGAATAGATACATAATAATACTACTGAAATCACTCAAATAAGCATATTAATGAGAGTAATAAATTCATCAGAAATTTATCAAGACACAAACAATTCCCCATCACTTAGAAGATGTAGGTGAATTTTTTTCTTCTGTATAAAATGAATGAAATTTTTAGATGAATCTGTGGTCCTTTCATAATAAGTATAATGCAATTAAGTCAACAGATACCAGTTTTTGAGATTAAAACTAAAATAAACACAAGTCCAAATCGATAATATTGGCTCCTGACAATAAATTGAGATCTTATGAAGTAAAATGATCGGTTTGTGCAAGAAATTGAACATTGTTTACAGTGTTATTAGCTTTACTTCACAGCTTGGGCAAAATAATTCTCAGTTCATGCACAAGTACAGTTAGCATGAGCTTCCGGTGGCTTGATGTATGTGTTTACGTATTCAGACGTGAGTTCATTTACCAGAAAGAAATCCTGCCTGCATAATTGCAATTTTTTAACAAGAGTTGTCACATCCTGGAGAAAAAATAGTAAGAACCATTTTCAAGCGATCAAAAGCACTTAATATACTTTTTTTTTTTTTTTTTTGCCCAGGCTGTGGGGATTAAAGCTAATAATATTAGTTAGCTAATAATTGTAAATAATGTTCTATTTATTGCACAAGCCCAACGTTTTGCTTCATAAGACTTCTGCGATGAATCAGGAACAACAGGTATTAATTTGTAAATGTTTGCAGTGGTGAAAAGTAAAAGTTACTAAGTAAAAGTACCATTACTTGCTTAAAATAGTAGAGTGGAGTAAAAGTATCTGTTGTAAATATTACTCTAAGTGTGTGTAAATAGTAGACTTTTCAAAAAAGTACTTAAGAGTAGTGAGTATTACGCTGTAAAAAGCTGATGCATTTACATGTAATTTGTGGATGTGTGTAAACGTAACATTCTGTAGTGTATTTAGTTATTGCCCAGCAGGCACACAACATCATAAGACGTTAATATTAGGTTAGACTTGAGGTTGTCAGGTGACTAAAATTCTATATCTTGCCAGTGTCTAAGGGCAACGTTAATTTGATCACCAATAACAATGTCAATTGACGATATTTAGTTGATTTTAGGTTGTGTTGGAAAGTGATCAAAATCCAACACCGAGCCAACATCTTAAACCAACATCATATTGACGTCAAAAACTGACTTTTTTATTTATCAGGTATGACAATCAAAATACAACTTCTGATAGATGTCAAAGTGGTAACTCCAGGTTGGATGCTAAACATTGATGTTAGCCAGAGGTTAAGTTCTGACATCAAACCAATTTTCATTTCTTAACAAAACGCAACGTCCCCACAACATTAAGGTACAACTTCAATCTTACGTCATGATGACATCATGTGCCTAGTGGGTGGCCATTTCGGTCATCATACAGTAAACATCTGTCATCTTCTCATCAGTGACATGCATTTAAACAGTCTCTGAGTCAGTGCGTGTAAAATTGTGGACATCTTTAACACTTTTAATGCTTCCAAACTGTTTGCTGCAATTATAAAGCGGTCTTGTCTTGAGGTAGTTCATTATGATGTGATTTACTTTCTATGTGCGATTTAATTGGACAGGAATCATGGGACAAATTTTTCTAATCCCCATAGAGAAGAAAAAATAAAGTAATGACTGCAGGTTGAAGGAAAGTAGTGGAGTAAAAGTACCACTAAAATTGTAAACAAGGGAAAGTAAAAGTACACATTTTTAAAAACTACTTAGTAAATTACAATTTCTGAGAAAAACTACTCAATTACAGTTGACTTTACACCACTGATTGTTTGTATGTGTTCTTAAATATCTTAAAACTAGTAACTACTGGATAAAAATCAACAAAGAAGACAGATTTAGTTAACAATCCTATTGAATGTTCTACGAAAAAGATGAAGGCCATTTTTGGATGAATTATCTTTTTAATATACAGTATGCTTCTAATGTTACCACAAGACTGAGATTTAAAAATTTAGTGGAGTCCATGTCTCGACTCATCAGACGTATTTTTTCATTAAGAGGGGAATCTAACAATATTCATGATATAAGAACTAGGTCAAATTGTGTATTATTAATTAATTATATTGTCTTCCCAATATAAATTTTATATAAATTTTCACGGATTGCTCTTTATGTTGTAGGCATCCAGAAAATTTATCAACACTGTGTGGATGTGGTCACACTTGAACACCTGAAAGATGAGCTCTGCAGTTCACTACCTCGGTCGTCTGACCTGCTGCAGCCCTGCTTCCTGCCAGATTGCCCACCCAGGTGACTTTCTAAATATTAAGTTCATATTTCACCTCAGAGGTGCTCCGTGTTATAGAATTATATGAATTATCAGGTTAGTTCAGAGGTGAAATTGAATACTTTTTAGATAGTTGCCAAGGAAACAATTCTTATTTTTGTTTAGATAATTAAAACTAAATAAACCAAAAAAGGCTGCACGATGGCACAATGGGTAGCATGATCGCCTCGCAGCAAAAAGGTTGATGATTTGAGCCTCGGCTGGGTCAGTTCTGTCTGAAGTTTGCATGTTCTCCCCATGTTTGTGTGGGTTTTTTGCAAGTGATTCGGTTTCGTATGTGTGTATGTGTGTAAATGAGTGTGTATGGATGTTTCCCAGTCATGGGATGTAGCTGGAAGGGTATCCGCTGCGTAAAAACATGTGCTGGATAAGTTGGTGGTTCATTCAACTTTGGTGACATCAGATTAATAAAGGGACTAAAAGGAAAACAAAATGAATGAATGAATGAATAAACCAAAAAAGGGCAGGACGTTGGCTCGGTGGTTAGGACTGTCACCTCACATCAAGAAGGTCACTGGTAGAGTTTGTTCTCCGTGTTCTTGTGGATTTCCCCGGGTACTCCAGTTTCTCACACGGTTCAAAGACTAAATTGGATAAAATAAATTGGCCGTAGTGTATTTGTGTGTGGGGGTGAATGAGTCAGTGTATGGGTGTTTTCCAGAAGTGGGAGTTTAGGAGTTAGTGTACTCTCCGTCTGGGTTGCAGCTGGAAGGGCAGTCACCATTTACAACATTTTCTAGAAAAACCCTGATAAATCAGGGACTAATGCCTAGTTCAGACTGCATGATTTTAGCCCCGATTTTGGCTCGCTGACAGGTTTTGAGAAATCGCCGACAAATGCCTGAAATCACAGGCAAATCGCTGCTCGTGCACGTGAGTGACAATCACACAGTATGAACTATCAAAGACGCGATCTGAGAGAATCGCAGATGAGTCGCCGATGCCTGCGAGATTTTTGGCATGCTAAATATCTGGAGCTGTCGGCGATTCAAATCATACCGTGTGAATTGAGTTTTGATTGAAAATAACATCAGCAATCGCCTACAGCCAATGAGAGAGCAGCTTTCACTTGTGTGTGCGTGTGTGTATACCTGCTGCAGGCTAGCAGGAAGCTGGAGGAGAAGTTAAAAGCGATCTTTTTCGGTTTATTTGGACCCACGAAATGGAGGAAAAACTAGTGGAGGTTTGACAGGACTCAGGAGCAACCGTGTCTGTTTAACGTTTCATACATAAAGAAATTAGTTATCAACGTTAAGGAGAAATGGCTAATTCCCTTTAAACCCAGGTGAGCAAATATGGACATTTTCTACCCCATTAAAGGCTTCTTTCTCATTATGTAGTTAATAACAAAAGACATACTACGTGTTTTTGGCTGTGAGACGTAGTTTGTACGAAGTTGTCGGCGATTCTTCCTATAGTAAAGTCATGCAATGTGAAAGTCCTTGTCACAGATCAATCTTGCAGTGTAAACAAAGCAGCGACGAAACGCTAGCCCAGATAGTCATGCTGTGTGAAAACATCTGTGACACGATTACTTTGAAAATCATGCAGTCTGAACTCGGCATAAGTTAAAGGACAGTAAGTGAGTGAGTAAACTGTATTTTTAACATTCATTATTTTGTCTTACATGGGAGCCTCATTAGTGCCATACCCTAAATAATCATACACTGTCATGCAGGAGACCCAGCTAATGGTTGCTCAGGCTTCAAAATGTGTACAGGTAGCACACACAGCTCTCTTGTTCTGAATTACAACCACTTCGATATAATTTATCCTTCCTCAGTGGCCAACTTAACCATGCAATGCCTACAAATATACCGGCCTGTGAATCTACTGCATTGAAACATTCATGGGCCGGCAGGTGGCCCAACACCAGACATGAATCAATTGATTAAAGCTCAAATAAACACAGGTTATCAGCTCCTTTAACATCTTCACAATGCACCTGCACTCTGGACAGATGCTGTCTTTAAGGCCGTACTCACACTAGGTACAGTTGCCTCGAACCGGGCAAAAGCACGCTTGTCCCCCCACCCATCTCCCCCGACGGCCCGCACTCACACCACAATCGGGCTTCGGCACGCTTACGTCATCGCTGCTGCGCTGTTCAGTGAGAAGCGCCGTCACTCAGCAGCACAGTGGAGATTTCTCTAGTTATATAATTTCAGTCGTTTGATATGCAGTGACATGCAGTCAAATATTTCGCCAAACAGTCCTTAGGGATGCGTTGACACGCAGTCAGATATTTTGCCGAACAGATCCGCCACTTTTGGCGCTCATAAACAATCATAAACCCCTCGTGCTGCAGGAATGAGGAGGTCTGCTGAAGGTACGCAGTTGTCGTGCATTGAGAAGTTTGCGTATTTAATAAACTACGACAGTTTGCGTTCACTGAACAGTAAGAATGATTAATAAATCCATATGAAATAGTCCCTTAAAAGTCACGTCTCGCTTTCAGTTTCGGGCTTAGGCGCGTTTTGCACTCACACTACAAGTGTACCGCGCCAAAGCCCAAGTGAACCGCGCTCAGGCCCACCTCTTCCAACCGGGCCAGGGCCGGCCAAGTGAACCATGCTTGAGCCCGATTCAGCGCACTCACACTTCTCAAATGATCCGGGAAACGGGCCTGGGCACGGTACGGATGGCATAGTGTGAGTAGGCCCTAAATCAATAATGGATGGCTGTCAGAAACTAGACTTGAGAAATCACTACAATAAATTTCATTAGCAAATTCAGCACTGACATGTTCTTCGACAAATGTTTCTCTCTTGGAATTCACATTCCTTCGACATTTTTCCAATGATGAAATAACATTCTCCAAATCTTCTTCCAGATACTTTAGACCTTGTGGAATAACCTTGGAAACTTTTTGTATATCACCCCACTAGGTACTGGGATTGAAATGACCTTTTCCTTCTAAATAAAAACCTGGAAGATGAGTGGGCAATTACCAGAGCTATGTTAAGCTGCTTCGACATAGTCTACATTGTGAAAAGTGCTATATAAATAAACATGAATTAAATTGAATTATCATGGTCATTGTCTGGAGGTATTGATCATTGCTTTGTAGTACATCCAATTATAATTCCCAGCCTCTCTGACTTTTTTTTAGGGTAGGTAAATCTATAGTTTGGGGTGGTTCTTCCTCTAAAAAGATGCACGTGTACTGTAGATGCTAAACCTTTTATGGCCAGCTGTGTTAACTCAGACAAATAACAAAACATAGTCTCTCATTTGCCAGCTTTATTTTAGCTCATCAGGGCTCTTTTCTTTGTACGTGGATTACTCAATTAGCTGGACTTAGTTATTAATGATTTAACATGGTCCAGGATTGTTTCATTCTTCAAAACTCTTCCAAGAGTTGTTTTTCAGAGCCAGCTTTATTTTTAGCTCTCAACACATCAGGTTCCTTCAAACTACTGAACCCAAAAATGTCAGAACACTCTTTAAAACAAAACCTCTATTGCCCCCTAGTGGACACAGCATAAATAACTTAACAGCTGTGTCTTAATGGTTAGAGAGTTGGACTTGTGATTAAAAAGGTCACAGGTTTGAGTCCCAGCACCTGCACGGATAGGCGGTGGGGGTAAATAACCAGTGCTCTAATTACCCTCAATTCCACGGCAGAGGTAAGTCCCTTGATTAAGTCAGCAATCCCCCAAATGCTCCTCAGGTGTCACAGCAAAGGCTGCCCACTGCTGTGTTTGTGAATTTGGATGTTTTAAATGCAGAGCATAAATTCCCAATATGGGTCACCATACTTGGCCACATGTCGTAACTTACTTTTCACTCTGTCATATTGACATCTTTCCAGGCTCACTATTTTTCTTTTCACTTATTACAACAGTCTAAGTCAGCCAACACGTTTCTAGTAGTCACTGGCTGTTTTAGACATAAGGTAGTAACATTCAGAATTTGATGCACTTAGACACATTATCAGTGAAATAACCCAAAGTTCTTTTAACAATCATACACCTTCCTCCAGTTTACAAAACTCCTGTAAAAGTTATGGCTTATAAACATTTGAAGAGTCTGTATGGAAAAATTTTAGGATTTATGTATGTTTATTAATATACACATGCATCTTTGTCTTTCCAAATGTTGTAGATGGCAGGTCTCTGAGCCTGGTGAGTGCTCCACTGTATGTGGTCCCGGGGAGGCCCAAAGAAAAGTCTTCTGTGTCCGCTTCCATAATAAATCTTATTTGGAGGTTGACCAAAACCTGTGCTCTCAACCCAAACCCCCAGAATACGTTCCCTGTGTGGTGGATGTTTGCCCTCTCAAATGGGACACTGAAAATGAGGTACATAAAGTTCAAGTGTGTAGTTTTTGATCAGGTTATAATTAAGCAATCACATGTTAACACCTGGAATTCAAATGTTTTTGTTGATCCAAAAAAACTGTGTTGTTGTGTGTTTAAATGAAAACAGTGTATTAATATAGTTTGACACCTTTGAACTGTGAAATAATGTATTTTATTGAACACATTGCAGCCAATCAGAATCAAGTTGTCAGACAGACTGTGGTATAAAGTTATATAATCCAGTTACGTGTAATCTTGTCTGAAGACCCAGCTGATCCATAGAGCTTCTCATGGAATGGTTCGCTCCAAAATTGTTCCAGTTTACGTTTGGAGTCCCAGGACAGGCGAGTGCTCCAAGACTTGTGGAAATGGTAAATGAGGCAAAGTAATGCTAAATGCTAAAATATTAGAACAACATTCATTTGTGCCTGTATGAATAATCTTCCATTTGCATATATGCAGGATCTCAGCAGGTTCAGTTCTCTTGTGTTGATCACAAATCACGTCTGGAAGTCCCAGAGACCCTTTGTGATCCAACCACCAAACCAGCACAGGACACTCAACCTTGTCGCATATCACTATGCCTCCCTATGTAAGCACTGCTTAAACTCTACTTTCAGTTTAGAGAGCTACTTTGTAATGAGCATGCTATCTTTCTTTTCCAGCTGGCGCTACATACAGGGGCCATGCAGTGTGTCTTGTGGAGGTGGAATAGCAAAGAGAGTCCTGTTTTGTTCACAGAGGATGGAGGAAAATGATGGAAACAATGATCTAGTGGTGGGAGAAACTGCTTGTGATTCTGTGCCCAAACCTCCAGAGGTAGTGGAATGTAATACTGAAAAATGTAAAGCCAGGTAAACTACCAGATTGTAAACTTCACAAATTTACTAAATGTATAAAAAGTTTGTTTTAAAATGTATACAAATTTTGTACACAGCCAGTCAGTTGATGCTGTTATTTTCAGAGTGGGATTTGCTCAAACTCAGAAAGGGAATATTTGAACGAGAATTTGATCTCACCTGTTGAGGACAAAATTAGCTAGATAACAAAAAAAAAAATAGAATAAAAAAATTGTCCTAAAATTCGAACATAATATTAATAATAATATAATTCACTACCTTAATTAGGTAGTGAATTATATATATTAGTGCTGTCAATCAATAGAAAAAAAATAACTTATTAATCACACTTTTTTGGGGAAATTAATCGCGATTAATCACATTTAAAAGACTGAAACTTGCAATTTTGGCTATTTAAATTTAAAATTAATGTAAACGCAAGACAAAAACTATTTAAATTCAAAATATAATTGTTTATTAGAATTTTTGTTTAACTTGAGATTTCTTCATGTAAACAACATACCCACAATAAACCATCAAGATCCTGGCTTGACAGCCATATTTATTACAGAAATAAAAACACAGTCATGTTATGCCATTTGAATTTTAAAACAATCAATGCCAATAAAGAAAACATAGATTTCCAAGTTGAATTCTAAGTGGACTGCAAAAAAAAAAAAAAAAGGCAAAATACAGGCATTGCAAATATGGAAAATTATAATATTAATAAAGTATTGAATACAAACAATTGTACTCAATGTAAAGTTGTGTTGCTTTGAGTTGAGAACATTAATTATAAAGTAGAAACAATTTTGCTTAATCCTCCTTGACATTGAGCCAGTTGCTAAAACAGTCCAGTCTGTTGACATTATCGGGGGACAATGTGGACCTTTTCTTTTGAATGATGTGAGCTGAGAGTGCAACACAGTCTCATGGCAATTTGTACCTTTTTGATTTACTGGCTACGGAGAACGACGTTTAGTCAGGTTTGTTGCTCGCGTGCGTACAGACACACAACGCACGCAGGACAGGGCAGCCGGAGCGACTCCCTTCAGATTCAGCACGCATGATCGCGTTCATCAAATTTCCTTAAACTAAGTGTTCTAGAGTATGGCTGTATTTCACAAGGATTCTGACACAGCAACGTGAAGCAGACGCTTTACAAAAGTTGCGTTTAAGGGGGAAACACTTCAAACTTTATGAGAATCTAGAGGGCATATGCTAAAAGGCAGAGGAATGGGCTGTCTTTGACAGCTTGCGACTTTATCTGGCACTTTCTGAGTACATTTATATGGACACAAATACTCTGATTTTGATATGATTAAGATAATACTCTTATTAAGAGTCTACCATGTAAGCAGAGATTTTTGATTACCTTAAAGGACCACGAGTCACGAAATGCGGAGGTTTTTCTTTCCGTTCGCCATGCGGTATCAAATTCCATTAAAACAGAAGTCAAAAGTTAAAGATGAAACACCCAAAATGGCAGAAATTGGGGTTGGAGCTAAAATTTGCAGGACACTAGACCTCCTGGACTGAGATTGTGAACCCCTGTCATATAGCTTTATTAAACTAGAAAGCAAAAATAGCACTGTAAATTTCTTACATTTGTATTAGTTTCCTTCAACTTTTCAGGTGAAACATGCTTGTCAATTAAATCTTTTTCACCAAAAATCTCTGGCATATGCAGTGAATCAGGGTATCTTCTGTCCATTCTGTATCCGTTTTTGAAATAAAAAAAAAAAACTAAGAAAACTGACATTTTTCGGTTTTTCTTTTGCTCACAAAAAATTTCTTTGTCTTTTGCTCACTAGATTTTCGTTTTTTGGTCAAGGGTAGAAAAATGGATAAATGACTTTAAAATTCATTATACACATGAAGTTGGTGCTGAAACATCCTTTTTCTGATTGGCCAACCAAATCTGAGCTTGTCCTGCAGATCAGCACCCAGGCTTATAATTATAATAATTATAATAAATAATTATAATAATTATAATATATAATTATAATAATTATATATATATATATATATATATATATATATACATATATATATATATATATATATATACATATATATATATATATATATTAGTGCTATCAAAATTAGTGCGTTAATGCATGCAATTAATTTTAAATATTTAACGCATTAAAAAAATTATGCAATTAACTATTTATTTATTTATTTATTTTTACTTCCTGTTGTGGTGGACGTGTATTCAACATGCAAAAAAATATGTATAAGACCAAGGAAGCACTTTTTGAAGGCAAGTTTCAGTATAAAACAATTAATGTCACATCACCAGGCTCTCCAGAGTTTCATGCAATTTCGGGTGTTTCATTTTTAACTTTCGACTTCTGTTTTAATGGAATTTAAAACGGCATGGCAAATAAAAAAAAAAAACTTCCGCATTTCGTTACTTGGTGGTCCTTTAAGGTAATCAAAAATCAATGCTGCTTACATGGTAGACTCTTAATAAGAGTATTATCTTAATCATATTAAAAGCGGAGTATTGGTGTATGCCTTTCAGCATGAGCCCTCCAATGTTTTATTAAGTTTGACGTGTTTCCTCCTTAAATGAAACAAAAACGTATGCTTCACGTTGTTGTCCCAGAATCCTTGTGTGCCCTGTCCTGTGTGTGTGTCTGTCTGTGTGTGTGTCTGTGACAGGCCCGTGCACAGAGCACAGACCCTTACAGGGGCAGGTGCTCAACGCGATCAAAAAGTGAAGAGTAAGTGCCTCCTGAGAGAGGCACCGCACCTCAGCCAATGTGGGCAGAGGGGCAGTGGCTCTAGCCACTGGGCCACCTCCCTGTGCATGGCCCTGGTCTGTGTGTGTATATAGCAACAAACCTGCTTAAACGTCATTGTCTGTAGCCAATAAATCAAAAAGTTATGAATTACCTTGAGATTGCGTTGCACTTTCAGCTCACATCATTCAAAAAAAAAGGTCCACATTGTCCCCTGATAATGTCAACAAACTGGACTGTTTTAGCAACTGGATGAATTTAAAGGAGGACTGAGCAAAATTGTTTCTATTTTATAATTAATGAGTACAATTGTTTGTATTCAATTCTTTATTGTTTTTACAATTTTGCATCTGCAATGCCTGTATTTTGGCATTTTTGCAGTCCACTTAGAATCCTACTTGGAAATCTATTTTAATATGTCTATTTTAATATCTATTTTACTATTATAAATATGGCTGTCAAGCCAGGATCTTGATAGTTTATTGTGGGTATGTTGTTTACATGAAGTAATCTGTGTTACAAGTTAAAAAAAAATCTAATAAACAATTATATTTCGAATTTAAATTGTTTTTGTCTTGCATTTACACAATTTTACATTTGAATAGGCAAAATTACAAGTTTCAGTCTTTTAAATTTGATTAATCGCAATTAATTAAAAAAATTGTAATTAATTAGTTAATTTTTTTAATCGATTGACAGCACTAATATATATATATATATCTTCTTGCTGCTGTGCATCTGATGCTGAGCATAGACAACCATTTTCGAGCAGCACCTGGTTTGCATGATTGTTTCAGAGCTACTGTAGGCCTAAATAATAATAATAATAATAATAAGCTTATAATAATAATTAATATTGTTTACCTAGTTTTTTTATTGTTTAGTTTTTTTAATAGTTGTTAGCAGGACCGCCATAAGAACACATTGGACCCAGGGAGTATAACCCAGCTTGGTTACCCTATAACAAAGGGTACCATTTGTTTTTATTTTATTTCCTCCGATTATATATATACAATTTTTTTTTTTTTTTTTGGGGGGGCGACATCACAAGCTCAGATTTGGTTGGCCAATCAGAGGAAAAAGGACATTTCAGCACTGCCTACATGTGTATAGTGAATTTTATAGTTTCCTGCCTTAAACCAAAAAACAAAATTTGAGCCAAAATATCTTGGGTTTTTTCTTTTGTTTTTGTGAGCAAAAGAAAAAATGAAAAACTGCCAGTTCATGGAAGACTTGGTGAAATTTAATCTGAAATTTTTAATATTCACAGCATAGCAAATTATTAACAATTAAATGAAAAAATAATTTAAGTAATATTTATTTATTCATTTATTTCCAGTGTAATATTATATTATATTATATTATATTATATTATATTATATTTAGGCTGTCTTTGTGAAATGATTCTGCAGGTGGCAGGTGGGAGACCAGGGTGACTGTTCCGTAACTTGTGGGATGGGTGTTGCTGTCAGGAGTGTGCAGTGTGTTCAGTATGAGGGCGGTGTAGAAAGGGATGTGGAGGAGGAAAAATGTGAATCAGGAACCAAGCCTCCTGTCACTGTACCATGCTTCACACAAGTCTGTTCTTTCAACTGGGATGTGCACGACTGGAGTAAGGTAATGTGTCCTAATGTAGTGGTTTTCAAACTTTTTACATCAAGTACGAGCATAATGACCGCATTTTTAATAAAAAAGCATAGTAGACATTATTATTCAGCGACTGTACAGTTAAAAAATAAACAGCAAACAATTCCTTATAAGAATATCTATTATTGTCAGCAAAACAATGTAAATACAGTTTAAACAATAACAATGCACTATGCTTTCAGGTAAAAAAATTAATTAATAATGTGCTGTACCTTTAAAAGTTAATAAAAGTAGCACAGTTCTTACAAAGTAAAAAAGAAATGCTGTACTTAAATGTAAAGTATTAAAAGTGCTATCTATCTATCTATATATATATATATATATATATATATATATATATATATATATATATACACACACACACACACACATCCCTTAGAGCTTAAGAATGGTTAAAATCTGGTTAAAAACAACTTTTTCAATGATTTTGCCAATGAAAGGGAGATTTGAGATTGGCCTGTAATTGCTCAATAGGGTGTTATCCAGGTTGCTCTTTTTAAAAAAAGGGGTTTAACAACTGCAGTTTTAAGTGTGTTTGGGAAAGTCTCTGGTAGAAGTGAAGCATTTACCACTTTTAGAAGATCCATTTCTAAACAGTTAAACACAGTTTTGAAAAATGATGTGAGGAGTGTGTCAAGGCTGCAGATTGATGTTTTCATAATCAGGGCCGGAGCAAGCTCAACTGCCGCTCTAGGCAAACCAAAATCATGCCGCCCCCTCCTCAATGTGTGTGTGTGAAAATAAACAAGCATTATTTTATTTCCCAACAAAATGTTTTTTTATTGTAACAAAAAAATCAGTACGGCTATACAACAGCCTGAAAATATTAATTATGTTTAATAATTTATAACCAACCTTTTCTGTAAGCGAATTAACTATATTCAGCGTTGCTTGACTAGCACACACACATACACGCAGACACAATAAGCCTACCTAAAAGTACGCGCGTCTGGCTTACATACCGTCAAACGTTTTGATTGCTTCTTCAATTTTAATGTTCTCCGCAAGTTCGTGCTCAATCGCAATTGTTGCAAGTCCATTGAGCCTGTCCTGTGACATAGTACTTCGGAGATAGTTTTTAATCAGTTTAAGCTTCGAGAAACTGTCTTCTCCAGAGCTCACAGTGACTGGGAGTGTGAGAAGCACTCTCAGCGTGACAAAAACATTTGGACAAATTGATTCCATTTCTTTTTCGCAAATGAATTTAAGTGCATCCATAGCTTTAGATCCAGCTACCAGGCGTCTGCACAAAGCAGTAAGTTCCTTACACAAATCATGCCCATTAACATCCTGCGAGTCTCCATGAATCAGGGCCTTTTCTAGTCTTAAACAATGCTGATGAATTTCCGGATACTCCTTTTCTTTTAGAGATGCGATGTCATATAAGAATCCAAATACGTGCCCGTGATCTCGAAACAGGGAAAAGCGCTCTTCAACAGAACGAATGGCACAGTCGAGCACTTGGTTAAAGAAGCCCACTTTGTAGTTTTGTTTCGAGTTAATGACAGGTGTGAGATCATCAGCTTCGTAAGTAAACATTTTCTTTCTTTTTCGTAGTCGCACTGCACTTTGTGGGGGGAAAACGGCCTCTGTTTGCAATTCCTCCGCTAATTCTCTTGCACTGGACTGCACTCTTTCAAAGTTGTTGTCTGTGCGGTATTCCACAAAGGATTGCTTTGTCGTGTTGAGCTGTGCTATTGCGTTAGTGATGTCAAAGTCCATTTTCTGCAGCATCTTGCTGGCAATATTTACTTCATACAAAATGTAATCGAACCATGTAATAATACTGCACATGAATGGGTAAGATTCAATTTTGGTAGCAATGCCTTTAGCATCACTGGTTCTGACACCCGAAACACCTGTCAGGGTGTCATCTTCCGCTATTGACAGAAGTGCTTCGTGCACATCTCCTAAATGGTGTCGGATGGGTTTGAGAGCGTCGATTCTGCTTTCCCATCTAGTATTGGATAGTGGCTTAACTATCAGACCACTAGGAATGTGTTGTTTTAGTACCACCCAGCAAGAAGTGGAAGCAGAGAAAAAGTTATACACTTCTTGTACAACTGAAAAGAATTCAACTGCCTGCAGGCAGCATGATGCTGCATCGTTTACAACTAAGTTGAGAGAGTGAGCGCTGCACGGCACATAGAAATCCCTCGGATTTTTATCCTGCACTCTGTTTTGTACACTACTGTGTTTTCCGCGCATATTTGACCCGTTGTCATATCCTTGACCTCTCATATCCATTATATTAATTCCAAGCTCGCCCAGTTTTTCAAACAGAACCTCTGTCATACCAGCACCAGTGGAATCTGTTATATGCGCAAATTCTAAGAAATGCTCCCTAACCATAACGCTTCTTTCCAGTGCCGTCACAAAGCGCACGCACAATAACGGTCATCTGTTCCATTCTGCTCATGTCAGGTGTGCAGTCCAAGATTACTGCAAAGTATTTTGATGATTTAAGCATTTTGAGAATGTCTTGTTTAATATGTGAAGCAAGCAAATCTATGATTTCATTTTGAATGTCTTTGCCCAAATAGTGAACAAGAGTTTCCTTGGATTGTATCCTTCTGATGTGCTCTGCCAGTACACTGTCAAACTGACCAATTGTCTCGATAAGTTTCAGAAAATTTCCGTTGTTCTCTTCATATTGCTTATCTGTGCTGCCTAGGAAAGCCATGTTTTGCATTGCCATTACCCTCACAATGCTCACTAAACGTTCCAGCACATGCTGCCAGTGTAATGTTTTGCGTTATATTTTAGGCTGGTTGTGCGCATCAATTGTGTTTTGAGTGGCTAATCTTGTGTCCAGCTCTTTCCATTTATGGAAACATTCTACATGTTCACCTGACTTTTCGTGTGAGTTCAGTATGCTGGAGAGATTTTTCCAGTCTTTGATGCCGTCTTTACCCAGACCAGACTTTCTCTCGCTCTCACTAAAAAGTTTAGAACAAAAGCAAAACACGGAGTCCTTGCTAATTGAATAAATAAGCCAAGGTCGGTCCAGTTTCTCGTCGTAAGCTACTGTACGAGAGTAATGAGCTTCTGAAAATCTCCTGTTTCAACTGTCTTTGTGAAAAATTTTACCTTTAGTTTGATGTGACCGTCTCTGTATCAAACTGTCCTTAAGTCCAGGATTTATTACTTCTGGCCATTTGCCATTTCCTTACCTTCTGACAGTGATATAACTTGCTCAGTCTGTCCCTCATTAGAAGAGTTACTGTCGGCCTCATGTACTTTGCTAACATTCTCTCTCGGTCATTAGCATGGTCATTGGCGGACTTTCTGCTGTCTACGCTGCCTGCAGTTTCAGCTGAGATGAATTTATAAAATGATCCTCTTTGTCTATCTAGTGCTTGTTCTTTTAAAATCCGTCTTCTTTTATATTCATGACCCGATAGTCTTATTTGTTTTGACATTTTTGCATCTTCCTTTAAGTATTTGGCACGTAGGCTATGCTGCTCTGGGCGGGAAAATGGCACAATTTGTTAAAGGAAAGTGTATTTAGATTTAGAAAAGCTAATGACTTGGTACTTGTTGGTGAACGTCAAACAAGAAAAGAAAACTCTCTCTCTCTCATGCGACCGCGACTGTGCGTGCGCATGCACCTGTTCACTCGCGCTTTCTCTCTGTTGCCGCCCTGATTATTCTGCCGCCCTAGGCGGCCGCCTAGTTTGCCTCTATGTACGCGCCGGCCCTGTTCATAATCTGCACAATTTCTTTTAGGATTATACCATCAATTGCCATGAAATTATCTGATTTTTTAAATTTGTGGTTGAGCTTGGCTGATTGGATGAGCTGATTGCCTTTTTGATATTATTGATCTTATCAGTAAAGAAATGAGCAAACTCATTGCATTTGCTTTCAGAGAGTAGTTCACTGGGAATCCAACAGGGGGAGTTTATAAGTCTCTCTACCATTGCAGAGAGTGCGAAAGTTATTTAAGTTGCTGTGTAAAATTATCAATAAAAGTTGGAGAATATTTTGGAGGTTTGTAGATAATGATCAGTAAAATGCATGGAACACCCTTTAGTGCTATACTCATATTTAAAGGACAAATAGTCACAAAATGACATTTGTTTACATTCACAGACATCTTTTAACAAAGCAGCAATGCCTCCACCTCTCATATTAGTTCTGCAAACATCCATAAAATTGAAATTGTCAGGGGCAGTTTTATTCAGAATTGATGCACTACAACTATCATCTTGCCAAGTTTCATTTAAAAGCATGAAAACCAGGCATTGATACATGTCTTGACAAGTTCATTGACTAGAAGTGACTTGTTGTTAAGTGATTGGATGTTTAAAAGTGCAAACTTAACAGTTTTAGCTATTTTCCTTACAGTAGTCTCACATCTACATTTAATAGACACCAGATTTGAATGATTTGTATTACGACTTGAAGAGGCCTTTAATTTTCTTTCATGTAATACAACACATACCTGCGTAGAGAAAGCTACAGGCACACTGGGTTCCTGTTTGTTCTGGTAACAGTTAATAAGGACACTAAGCAGGAAACTCATCTAAGCAGGCACCCGACACACATCAGTAACTACGTGTACATGTAGATCAGTAATCAAACTATTTGCCTTAATCTAATTAAGACAATAATAAGGTTAAGGCGTTTACATGAGTTGCTTTTTGAATGTTGCTTTCATGATTCCGTTTTACATCTTATAGCACATAATTCGATTAACGGCATTGCGTCACCACGCTATCCGCATTTCCTCCGGAGTTTCATGTAGTTTTGGGTGTTTCATTTTTCATTTGTCGACTTTAACTGCAGTTTGGCACTTTCACTTTCATTCGGTAACATTTTATACATGCCCCCCGTCACAAACCAGATATTGGATGCAACAATAAACTGCAGGAAGAGTGTTGTTTTAATGTAAGTTCATACTGCATGCTGAATAGAAGAAAATTTCACAGGAGTCTATAGTCTTCACTGGCTCGGTAGGTGTAAAGAGTGTCAAATAGCCGTGTCTGGGTGTGTGTGTGTGTGTGTAGATTATCCTGTCACAAAGTGTGGTAAAAGGGCAATAGTTTTATTGTATTTAACTATTTAACATTGTATTTAACATTCATGAGAGCAATAGTTTGATTAAGGTGTTTACATGTCTATACTGCACTTCAATAATGTGACTAAAATCGGCATACTTCACATGTCTAATTTGATTTCTCTTTAGTTCATTTATGACCTTAATTTGAATAAATTAATCAAAAATCGTTGTTTACATGGCACATTCTTAATCAGAGTATTGTCTTAATCGCATTAGAATCGAATTATTGGTGTCCATGTAAACGTACTCGATAAAATTTTTGTTCACCAGCTGAAGATGGGGCGTTGTTAGGGCCCTGGCGGTGTGGCAGGAGCCGAAGGGCTCTTCCAGGTGGGCTTAAACGTGGTAGTGGAGAAAGCCGCTTTATGGTTGCCAACTGGGAGCTTGCAGCAATAGAGTGTGAAAGTTTAGTTCCAGAAAACACCAGTTCCTCCATCTAAATTCAAAAATTCAAGGGAGGCGAGCAAGGTGACACAGAGAGCGTGTCTGGTGACAGAGGCTGTGGCTCTGGAGTTCTGATTGCTGAAATATATTGTTGAGTGCTGAGACTTGATGCTGTTCTGATGTGTCACAGTCTATCTGTATTAAGCTCAGTGTGCAGGGCTCAGGTGGCGATGTGTCCATGAGTAGTGGTTGTGTGGCGTTATCACTGTCCTTGTGAGATGAGCCAACCACAAGTCCTCTTTGAAGCTGATTTGAAGTCCTGTGGTCATTTGGACATTTACAAGGGGTTTGTGTGCCATTTGGCTTGAGTTCAATGGCACATACAGCCGATGGATGATAAAAGGAAAAATAGATATCGTCCTTTAGCACTTTTGGACCAAGTTTCGTGATTGTATCTGTCAAAAGGTTAAAAGCGTTTTAACAATTTTATTATTCAGTGATCCCTCTGTGTGCTACAAGAAGGAGTCTCACACTTTGGCAACCATTAACAGTTATGCCATAGATCCTCAAGTTTCATTTTATGAATGCAGTCAATGAATCTCAAGTCTCTCATTTTTTCCCCTTTCTTTTTCAATATAGTGTTCAGTATCATGTGGTTATGGGATCCAGTCTCGGGCTGTGTCCTGCATGGGCCCATCGAGTCCATTCCCTCTTAGTCCCTTTCTTTGCCTCCACTTGCCAAAACCTATCACCATCCAGGCCTGTTATAGCCCTGACTGCCCCTCAGTCAATACATCTGAATCAAAGCCCAACAGCACTTACATCCAGTCAACTCTCCAAAGTATTGAGGGGATGTGGAAAAGTCCAAACATGCAAACCACACTAGCTCCAGCAATCAGACGTATCAAGATGAAGAAGAGTTTCCCAACCATTGTTCCTACAGCAGACATGATGACGAGCACTATGAGTGTGCCAACAGAAACACCACAGACCAGTTAAGTGGCACATACCTACCAACAATTAACATTTAGTGTCTAAACAGGGCATATTTTATAGTTTTGAAACAGAGTATTTGGGGGAGGGGCTATTGGATCGCAAGAGTGGTTGGATTGGTAGATTGCTCGACTACGCCACCCTGGAAATTATTGGCCAGGGACCCACATTACACAGTTATGCAACAGTTTGGAGAAAAACAGATTCGTTGTGGCTCAATCAGACATCAGAACACAAAAATTATTAAAAACGGTACAAACACTTCAATGCATTTAAAATAAAACACGTTTTACTCAGCACTTCCTCCTCAGAACTGGGGCCACTGGGTTTTAGTGTTGGAGGCACACACGCACACACTCACACTTCCCACACAACCAGTTTTGAACACAGCAGGCGAAGGATACACCACCACCACACCACAGCAATTCCGCACCAGCGCGCCCCATTCTGGAGGAAGAAGAAACACAAGATAAAACCAGTACAAAGAATGCACACACACGCACACAAACCCACACACACACTTCAGGAATACACTTAAAACAAGCACTCACAGCTCGGCGCAAGACCAGTTCAATAAAACAGTGCAAACTCACAAATCAGTACACATACAGCTCAACATCATATAGAGGGAAATCACAACAAGGCATCTTCTTAAGTGGACAAGAAAGTAGCACATCAATCACTCCAAAAATACAGCTTTGCAACAAATCCAATAATGCAAAAGAGCTAGTATAACATTAGTATAACAGTGGTGACTGCTCAAAATGGTCACAATTAAACCTTCTGATTCATGCTACAGAGTACCTCATTAAAATGGTCACACAGTTTATCCTGGTTAGAAACGAAAGTCATAATAGTTAAAACTCAGCTCGCTTGATTTATACCCATCTCTGAACTCTTGTACAGCCTCAAGGCCACCGAAAGGAACGAGACTGCAGCCGCGCTGACTTGACACCAAACACCCGCAGCATTCAGTCTCCCATTAGCGGCGCTGCAATGCTCACGTAAAAGGCTGACGCAGCCTTGTATTGACCGCAACTGTAGAGAGAGAGAGGGACAGGAAGGAAACTTTTCCCCGACATTGATGCTGACCGTTACCGGTAGCAAACGAGCCTGCTGAAACAAAGACTCCCCAAAGAAACACAGACGTGCATAGTGCGGTGTCAAAGCAGTCTTTTATACACCCTGAATACCCTAAGAAATTTATAGATGTATAGAGGTTGGGGATTAATATGTGAACAGATGAATGAACGGGGGAAAAAACTAAGTCATCCACTCTCGTTTCAGGTATCTGTGGGCAACTCCTGCTTCAAGACTCAGGAAATATTGATCTCCACAATGTCACTGAGAGGAGATGCATATTTGCTATTGGCCGACCTCTTGATGAGGTTATTCAAATCAGAATTATTTCCAGTACCCTTAACTGCCAGCAAAGTAAGTGCTAATCTTTCATTGCTTACAGACAGGGGAATCTGTAATAGCATGGTGAATTGTGTGCATATTTGTGTGTTCTTTTCAGAGGAGAATATAGCCCTGTATGACAGACTTGTCCTTATGCGTCTTTGTGAGAGGATGACTGGTAAAATGGTCAAATCACGAACAAATGTTCTTTTGGTACGCCAAAACCGTCTCACCTCTGGCAATGGAGTGGTACTATTTTATCAAAGTGTAAAGACGAATAAAGGCTACAATAGAGGTGAGTCATTACAAACAAACCATGAATCTAATACTTTAAAATGCATGCTGTAGTCTACTATTGTCAGGATTATGCCACTTTGGTTTTGTCAATTGTAAAGTATTTTAACCCTGAAATGAGAGAAACTCTGGGTTTTCCGTTTCAAAATGACAGGTTTATCAAACTCAAGAAAGCAGGGTAAGTCGAGCCTGTTTCTGAAAGAGAGGTAACTTTAACTCAGAGTCAGTTACTGTGGTAACTTACTCTGTGTCCTAACCTGGTCAGGGGCAGATCTTATTCTTTAAACTCAGAGTTTCTGTCAGTCTCCTCCCTTTTTTTTAAAGACGAAGCAGTATTTCTCACCTTAGCCTTACGTTTCAACCCACCTATTTTTTTATGTGCATTTTGGATACGCCATAAAAAAATCATTGATGGAAACATCATGATGCTCATGAATTTTAAAAATAGGACTTTGGAATTTAGAAAAAAAACCTATGCGCTCAACTGAGTAGGATAACTTTTTTAATAAAATAAATGTGCATAAACTGCAATGGAAACTTTTACTGAACAATTTCCAGTATGTGTATTAAAAAAGGTTTGTTATAGGATCATCATAAGTTAACGATGAAAATGTTGTTTTGGTCATTCTAAAATGCCTTAACCATTTCAGTATTAATGTTATTATGTTATTAATTACCTACAGAGCGTCTGGAACATGGCTAGAGCGTCTGTTCTCTTCGTCTCATATGGCGTCAAACGCCACCATGCGTTCATTGTGTGTCAGCACTGTCTTCTGAGGCGCTAGTCATTTACCAAATAAAGAAAAGATTTACGTAGTTTCTCCTACCACAGTAAAGTCTGTTTTTACTGTTGATTTTTGGCGCCAGTTTATGAGGAAGTAATGATTTTGTTCTCTTTGATTCATTGGATGGAAAAGCTGCTTTATTAGCATAGCTTTTACGCGACATTACAGTTTTGCACATAAATTTAATTCTCATTTTGGGATGGAAACATAGCTATTGCCTACATTTCAGTCACACAAAGAACAAAGTCAAGTACGAGAATGGCTTGTCCTTTTTTAATAATTAGCTTGAATTCACAGACCTTCGACATGTGTTGTAACTACATTAATGGGATTATTACTTGTTTTAAAAACTTTTTTAGTTCTGCTTACATTCTAAGGGTGCTTTCACACTTGGTTCATTTGCGTAGACCGTACCCAAGTTCTATTGTCTCCCCCTGCCACCTCCTCGGTTGGTTTGTGTTCACACTTTTTTTCCTTCTGAACCCCGGTACGCTTACGTCATCGAGCTGCTGTTTTGTTTACGGCCGTTGCTAGGTGACGGTCATGAAAGCAAGCGCCGAAATGGAAAGACTTCCGCACATCGCGGTCATTCTGCTTTAACTGAAGCTTTTGGTTTCGGACATACAGAAACCGACTCACGTCCATCTGCCGCAAACATATTATAAACAGTCAGAACATCACACAGTGTCTGTAGAAGCTGTTTTTGGAGGAGACAAGCAGACATCACCGTGTATCACTGTGTTTGCCCTGGCTCAGTCCCACGTATGTGTCACCAAGGTACGAAACGTGACACACACACACACAAACACGAACGAATGTTATGAAAACAATAGTTTGTTGTACAGTTGGCGGTTCACTTCCGTGATTTGGTATGATTGCATTCACATCAGAAGTGAACCGTACCAGAGTTCGCATGAACCGTACCCCAGACCACCTCTTTCAGGCGGGTACGGTTGACGGGTGGTCCGCACCTGAGTTCAGAAGACACGTTCACACTAGCTAAATGTACCATACTATGACGTCAAACAAACCTGGGTGGTGACCAAAAGTGCTAGTGTGAAAGCACCCTAAATGTCAAATCAACCACTTGATCAATAATAAAGGCAGACACACAAGTGCACTTTTAAATCTGTAAAACTGATCAATGTGTGTAAAAAAGGGAATCTAAAATTAAACAATTCCAAAGAACATTGTGTTAAGGTTATCTGCATTCTTGTTTTGTAAAATTTGTTGTAGAAACTAAGCAGTAGCCTTTTTCATGTAATTTAATGCAATTACATCTGAAATAACTTCAAAATTATGGCCAATTTCTCAATTTTTCCAAGTAAAAACTTAATGAACGTCACACATTACATTACTTTTTTTATTATACTTAAATAATTAAAAAATAGACTTACGCATTAACTTGAGCAGCTGTTTTCCCACGCTAACTGTCTGTTTCACTGATGCAGTGGTGTTGCTTTTTTAAATATATGGTCATATTTGCTATAACTTTGCATAAGAAGATCAAGTTCAGCTGCAGAAAGAAATGCTGATCTCTTTTTTTAAGATATTGCCATGGTGACTCGTAACATCCGTGCCCCATTAATAATGTCTTTTTATAGCCGCAGTGTGCACACTTAACTCTGAGTTGGTCTACTCAAAGTTGATTGACCAAACTCAGATCAGCTATTCTGTAACCGAAAACTCTTGAGTTTTTTTTTTTTTATCTCTGGGTAAATCAACTCAGAGTTCAAGTTTAAACTCAGAGTTGGCTGAACCTACTTACTGAAACAAGCCCCTGGTTGTTTACATTGTGGGCGCATGAGTTAGTGTTGTGTTTCATGTGAACACACGGTTAACAAATTCTCTCATTGGCTGCATGTTCTAGTACCATTTTACTTAAGCACATGGATTGTGTTGTTTCTTTGTGTCATGTGCTTCTTTTTATTGTCTAGTCCCACCCTCTTTGTTAACCCATTATTAGTTTATTATGTTCACCTGTTTGTTTACCAATTATTTCTCCTTTATAATCTCCTCATGTCTGCTGTCCTGTGCCAGTTCATCATCCCAGTATCATGTCTTTAGTCGTTTCCAGTCCAGTCTTGTCCAGCCCTGCTCTTATCTCCCAGCCCAGTCAAGTTTGTTTTGTGTTTTAGTTATGTTTTCCCCCTTTAGGGTGTTTTTTTTGCATTTTGTTTTATTTTTTAATTAATAATTAATTTGCTGCACTTCCCTTCATCTTCGTTCCCTTTCAATACACCAACCAGGACAACTATAGTTATTTTACTATTTTGAGAAGAGATTTTTAGTCAAAAATTATTAAATTATTATTTTCTTAAGAGAATAAGGGCCAAAAATATGAGCCAAAGAAGGATTTTGCTGTGCCGCAATGATTGACCCTGAGGATATCGCTACTTTGAAAGTTTAACATCTGTGGATCTCACTCAGCAAAGTAGTGACTTCTCGCTACTGACGATCTAAACCATGCAATCAAAGGGAGGGGGCTGTAATTTGACAGTGGCAGACAGGCAAAATTATTAAAAAAAAATTTGTTGTTGTAAATAGTTTTGTAATTTATGGATACATTCATAATTTCTATTACATTTATAGTACTGTTATTAATAATAAAGCAGATCTCTGGGGGCCCCTAGAGTGCATGGGCCCTTAAAATAATCCTTATTTCCCCCTATAGTGGCGCCCCTGTGAGTAAATACTCATTTTTGGGTGAACTATCCCTTTATGACAGGGAAATGTGGTGTTCCATTAGATCAGAGTTGCCCACTCCAATCCTGGAGAACTAAACCCTGCAGACTTTTGGTTTAACCTAGATGAAAACTTGCATGCCTCTATGAATAAAAATATTGGTTAAAGTAATTTTAGATTTAGCCAAACTAAAATGATGTGATATAGCGTGTCTTTTTCTTCACAGTGTGTGATGTTCAACTGTTTGCTCCTTCCGGACTTATTGAGAATCCGATCAAGAGTCCAGCCACTTACCCCTCTAACACCCAGAGCTGTCGTGTGTTCATTGATGCTCCTCCTGCTTTGAGAGTTCAAATCAGAGCACTTTCTGTTCTCAACAATACAGACACAAACTCAACATACATATTGGTAAGTTAGTATGTTCCATTTTTGAAATAACTTACTTCAGAGTGTATGAGAGGAGTAAAGTAGAGCGGTGTAATTGGAGTGGGATTTCTCTCACTCCGAATGTGCTCAGACACCACTCAATCATTAACACAACCGATACAGTTTTGAATCATTTGATATATTCAACTACCAAACTAATCAAGTCTTTCATGTATCATTAATAGCCTAGTCTTTATAAACAATCCATTTATAAAAAAGGCCAACATAATTTATGAATAATAGAATATAGCCTCTACTGAAGAATAAGCCCAATCCTACGCTAGATAATGATCATTGCAAACTAAGCTGAGATGTTCATTTTATATATAGGCCCAATCCCAATTCTATTTTTGTACCCCTACCCCTTCCCCTTCGCCTTCCCCCTTACAACTGAGGGTTAAGGGGAAGGGCTTCAAAATTTACCCCTTAAAATTGGGACAGCACTAAAGCACCTGCACACGTCATCATATGTCCTCGTGATCTCTTGCTTCATATGAGATCAGACGATGGCGACTGCTGTAGTTATTCCAGTTGTGTTATTTTTTGGTTTTTATCTTTAGGAAATTACTGAAGGCATGTATTATGTTATCATTATGTGGCAATAAGATTGTAATACTGTGCATTTAACACAGTGGCCTAACTCATCTATGTAAACACACAAAAACAGCATTAGCACTATTGCAGACACTGTAAAAAGCTCATTGACAGCCACTAGACTTTTTTCTTATCGAGTGTCAGAAAGTTGTGGGACTAATGTACAGGAGTTATGATTAGGGATTATAGATTGCGAAAATTTGCGTTTTTTATTTTTTAAAGCATGACGGTAAAACATGAATTCGGTTATGAATATACTAAAACATGTTTTTGTTTGTTGTAAAAAATCTTAATAATGACAAAAAATACTAATTTGTGGATCTCCTTACTTCCGGGTGGAGCTGTTGCTGGGGTATTCAAGGAAATTTTTCTCACCCCTTGGTTTCAAGTGGGGTCCTGAAAAGCCTTCGTTTGAAGGGGTGTATACCCCTTGCCCTTAGCCTTTAAGCTAAAGAGAATTGGGACACGACTACCTCTTCACGGGAACGCGCAAAACGAGGGGTAGTGGTAAGGGGAAGGGCTAAGGGGTAGAATTGGGATTGGGCCATAAACTATCTATGTAAAATGTAAGTAATGCAACGCTGTGTAAAAAACAATACTATTATAGTATTTTACGCTGTAGGCTAATCAAAATCTACACAGGTGCTTCATCTTAACATCCCTACGGCACTGCACATGCATCTGTTTAACGCTTTTTAAAGACCTATAACAGACAAGGGAATCTCAATAAAAGCTTGATGCTTGCTGTCATCTGGGCCCTATTTAACGGCATTCTATGTTACAACATCAATAGGATTTGAAGCTGTCAAGCTTATGTTAACTCTTTAATATTAAGAGAATACATTACATTAACTTTAAAATCTGTTAGTTTGATACAGGATACACTAAACAAAGGCCATTTTTACTTATTAAAACAGTTACATTAAGTAACTTAATGTAAGTGAGATGGTGAAAATGAAAGCACACACGTTGAGGTCAAATCAGATGCCCAAGACATAATCTTTAAAAGAATGACTTGTATTAAAACGTAGCAGTTATATGACAGGGTTGTGATATAACAGTGGAGCTTTAATTAATGCCTTATTTTCTGTGGAGCAATCAAGTAGCAGGAGGAAGGACCAAGCTTGGCGTGAGTGAAGAGCGTGAGATGGAAAACCAAGAGCAAATAGAAAATGTTTTGAGTGCTGTAGTAATTCTTGCCGTTCCACTCATATACTCTGGTTAACTTGCACTGTGTTACTTTGCTGATGATTTTGGCCCCATTTACACTAATCCGTTTTCGTTTTAAAGCGCATAAATTTTGCTACGGTTACGCCATCCGTCCACACTACGCTGGAGTTTTCGAGTATCACCACTGTATCACCAGACATATAATGCCTGCACAGACCTTGTTTTCCTACAGGCTGTCATCCCCTTTAGGACATGGCCAGGTATGTTTCCTTGACAGATGCTTTTAGTATAGGCTTTTAGTATAGTGCCATGTACAGGAGCCGGTAGCTGAATGCTCATTGCACAAGGTCCCTGCTGGCAGTATTTCTCACATTCTGCCAGTTCTGGCTTTCACACTTATCCAACAGCCCCTCCCTGAAAGATTTTTCTGAGGATAGACGTTCTATCTCAGGGATTGGGAATGATCTACCACTTGAGTAAGATAACTTATTTTCAAAAGAACATCTGTCACATCCAGAAACACAACTCAGTAATGAAGAGGGAGGTTCTACCTTCCGATGCTGCAAGCCGGAGCTCCCATTGGTAACAGTTTCCTCAGTCATTGCTTGTCAAGCCTTGGATGAGGTTTTATCCATTCTGCCTTTATCCAATACATCAATCTGCATTTCAGCTACCAACAGAGCCCTCCATTTTGAAGCAACCAATCCCAGCTCCCTTTGCTCATTTTGTGGGCCGTTCAATGGCCAATGAGGATTCTCCCTTTAGAAGTAGCATAGGCCCACCATTGATCATTACAGATTAGAGCACCCATTTGGCAATGATTGGGGTTTTCCCTTCCGAAGCAGTGAGCTGCAGCTCCCTTCAGTAACAGTTCAAGTCCTCCATCTATCATCAAATTTTTGACTCTCTGGCAGCTTTTTTTGTTAATTTTGGTGGAGCTCTCTGCGATCAGACTCTATGATGAGCTTGAAGCCCACCCTATTTACTATGTATATGTACTTACTATTTGCACAGGTCGAACTTGATTACAGAAGTATTTGAATTACCTATTACTTCATCCAAATTCTTCTCCTTTAATCAATTCTTATCCCATGCTGGGTTTAGGGGGAGCTCTTCAATTATGGATTAAATACCAAGCTCTGAGCCCTTTCCATCTGGACGTCATGGAAAATACTATTGACTTATGATGTGTGAGGATGAATTAATGAATCCGAGATTAAACAGTGAATACATGTATTTACACATGATAGACATTAACAAAAAAATTAAAGCTGTGCAAACACAAATACTGATAAACATTGTATCTGTGATGCCCCTGGACTGAATACAAGTATCTTTATGCTGTCTTTATTTCTTTTCCAAACCCAGATTCGAGATGTGGATGCTTTAAAGACAACCATATTTAGAGGAACACAGCTCTTCCTGTGGAGATCTTCAGGAAGCAGGGCTGAAGTGGAATTTCATGGGGAGTATCAGCAAATCAAAGGAATGTTTAGAGCAGAGTATTTGCATATTAACCCTTCTGAAGAATAACTAGCGTACTTTGTATGCATGCTAGTTCAACACGAATTTGAAATTTAAAAATAAGTATAGTAGTTTAACTAGTTTAGCATAAAAGAATCTGAGGAGAAGCAGTCTGAAATGGTCTGTTGTTCTGTCATATAATTGATAAACAAAAAATCATACCAATTGCTTTTCTATATTTATTGTTATGTGTTTTTCACCTTTCTAAATTGACAATCATATGTGCCATGTCTTCTTCTAATTTAACACCACAACGAAATAAATACAAATCATGAAGAGTGTTGATGTTGTGTATAGGTTTTTTCCTCCCACTGACACCTTACACAAGTGCCACTTTACAGGCTCAAAACATTTATGAAAACTATGGCTGCATTTACAGAGTACAACCCTCAGTGCTAGGAAACACCCATTTACTCTGTCATTCACACATTACTGGAAATTAAGTTTATCTAATTAGCCCTTCACAATATACTCTTCTGGGAAACTGCTTTCTGCTTTGTAAATACTTTACCAGTCTGGCTCGTTTGTCTGGCTGTTCTGCTTGTCAGAGAAAGTGACACACAGAATATATGCATTGTAATTGGCCATATGTAACATAAATTAGCTCATTTTATCATTATTAATAATCAACAATAACGGTTTATTCTTAATTATTAATATTCCGGCTTAAGCTTCGGTCAATTTGGTCAAACATATGATTGTATATGATTCTGCCCGCTCGACCAAGCGGACTCTCAGATTATGAATATTAACAAACAGTAAACAGTAACAGAACAGTAACAAATTATTAATTATTAACATTCTGGATTAATTTATTGTTAATTTGACCAAACAAACATGACCAGAACCGCTGCTCTTCCGAGTGGGCACGGTAATGATCTATTCATTTAGAAAAGGGAATTATTACTACTTGTGAAGTAGATTAATCATTCATAAGTTTTAATCAACATGTAACAGCTAGGCAGGGGAATCTGTCTTTCAGTGACTTTTTCTGTGAGGCAAACAATACAATTCATTTGATTATAATGAGATTTATTGACTAGTCAGAAAAACAACGAACAAAACGCACAAACATACATTAAACATAGAACAAAGGTAAACCACGTGGAGAGGCTATACGGGTCTATAGAGCATGTAACAACAAAGAGAAATAGTAAAGCGAGGAAATAGAGATTTCAGATAAAGAGTGATAAAACTTTCAGTTCCACACACCATTAAGGATAACCAAGATCATAAAAACAAAGACACCATCCAACCCCAGTTCCACAACTACAAAGGAACTTTTTACTTAGTACTTTGATGGTGTGATGAGTGATGGTGGGATTCTGGCCAACTCAGCCTTTGGCCAAGGACTCCGTGGGGGCATCCTTCATATGCCTCCTCACCCTCTTCTGATCTGGAGTCTATCTTCTCTGCCTCTTTGAGGCCTACTTACTCTCTTTGTCTCTGCCTCCCCCTGTCTCTCCTTCTACCTCTTGTAACTTTTTTACGTTTAAGCTGGGTACAATTGATATCATATGTTTTTATCATTTCATATTTTATCAATTTATAATTATTGTCATTAAATCATCTCATTTTCAAGTATTTGTGAATTACTTTTGATTTGACAATAACACCCAATTGCTCCATTGTCAGACTCGAACAGAAAAGAGAGAATTCAGTTCAAAAAAGGGTGTTTTATTTGGAATAAGGATGAACTAAGGCAGCCGCCGTTCCTCGACCACCCGTGGGAGAACACAGACTGGTGATCTGCCTCGGTTCCTTTCGAACGGAGCAAGGGCTGTAGCTGGTGAGTGCAGGTGAGGAGTTGGGAATCAACAGCGAGGATACTGCACAGATCACAGATAAGCAAAGGCGATAAGTTGTAGATCAAAGTAACAGGACTGAACTAGATTAGATGGAAAAGTCAGGTTCACTAGAGAGGGAGAGTTGGTCTGTAGGCTTTAATGAACACAATAATCCAACAAAGAGTAACAAGAAGGGGCAGGTATATATGAAGAGACAAATAGACTTAAATGGAAACAGGTGAGTAATGCATGCACGCCAGCACTGATTGAAAGGGGAAACAGCTGAAGTTAACAACACAGAAGATTGGATCAAACCTGACTCGTGACATCCATATTGCAATACAACAAAATACAATCACATAATAACAACGCTCTCCCACATTATTAGCTATTAATACGGTCCTTATTTTCGTTTTTGGTATAAGATTACAGAAGAATGGTTTGACTAGAAATGTAGTTTTTACCATCATGCTGATAACTTTTAAGTCACTTGGCAGAAATACAGTTCGATCTGCTGTGGTTAAAATCCATTCTTACATCTCCCAGGAGCTGACCCCAGAGGACCCCATTCCTATGTCTTTGTGGCAGATGAGGCCTTTCCCCTAAGGAAAAATATGAGGCCATTCCAATAAAATTGAATAGTAATAAAACATGACTTGTCACACAGTGCAAGGCGACCAGTGGACCAACCCCTCATTGCATGTTCTTACCTCATTCATTCTTTCCCTTGTTATTTTATCAAAAAGGAAGGTCTTCTGCCTACATTTTCGGCAACCTAAATTATTAAAAGATAACGAAAGATTATTAAGCAACAAATGTCAAGCTTTGTTGTTGAATCTCCAGTTAATAGTTATCATTTTACTTGTGAGGTGAACTGTGGTTCCACTTTGTCCCTGTTTATTGTCAATCAAGCAAAATATACTGTGCTGGGTTTCCAAAAGCCCTCCTAGCTTAAAGGGGTCATCACATGCCCATTTTCCACAAGTTCATATGTTTCTTTTTTAAGGTTTTAATTAAAAGTTTATAGTCTATTTTGTTTAAAAATTCTCAATAGTAGTGTAAAAAAATAATAATTTTTTTTACCAAGTTAAAATCAGCTCAGCAAAATACCAACTCATTTTACTGCAAGGTCCCTGTAAATGTAAATGAGCTGTGCTTGCCCCGCCCACACTGCCTGGTATAATGAGTCCCAATGTTAACTTTAGCTGTGTTTAGTCACATTTAGTGATGAAATTTGCCAACGAGCACATTAGAAAAGGACGTTTGCAAAGATGCATAAAAAAATTCTAATACTTTTTCTGTGTGTGAAGCTGTATCAGGAACAATTCACATGAACATAGACGCATATGATTGGAGTCAGATATTACTTTTAAATATTATAAAAATACAGCTGGGTGGATTTTCATTTGAGGACGATTGTGTTCACAAACTGCCAACACACATTAATGTTCAAACAACATGAGAAATGATGACCCCTTTGAAATAGTGACATTACCACAGCCCTTGGACAATGGCCACTTAAACACAGTTAAAGAAGTTAAGAACAACTTACTGTTTATTGGCAATGATCTGATAACCTAGATAAATCTAAAATCTAAAGTCAACTTCATCTGAGATCAAATTTATAAACAGTGTGGAATAAGTTTTTTTTTTTTTGGATTAAAGAAAAACAAAACGTACCTTTTCTTCTCTTCTTCACATATGGATCCTCCTGACTCAAGGACTGGGAGATGGAAGAAGCAGCAGGTAGAGGACAAGACTGGAAGGGAGAGATCAATGGTCATAATAGAGAAGAGACAGAGGTGGCAAAAGGGACTGGTGTCGTCCTTTTTCCTGTGTCGCAAAGTCTTAGAGCATGGCAGTGGAGGATGAGAAGAGTATGAAGGAAGCATAACAGTAGAGGAGGAAGGAGAGAGAGAGAAGTTGGAGAGCGTGGGGAAGAGAGAGGAACCAGGTTGAGTATAAATAAAGTCTCAGACTCCTTTCTGTCTGACTACTCCATGGTGAGGCTCTCCGGATGCTCCACGGTGTGGCTCTCCGGCTGCTTCACAGTGACTCTCCTGATGCTCAATGGTGTGGCTCTCCGGCTGCTCTACAGTGAGGCTCTCCGTATGCTCCACGGTGTGGCTCTTTGGCTGCTCCACAGTGAGGCTGTCCAGATGCTCCACGGTGTGGCTCTCCCAATGCTCCACGGTGTGGCTCTCCCAATGCTCCACGGTGTGGCTCTCCGGCTGCTCCTCAGTGAGGCTCTTTGGATGCTCCATGGTGTGCCTCTCCAGCCACTCCACAGTGAGGCTCTCTGGATGCTCCACAGTGTAGCTCTTTGGCAGCTCCACAGTGAGGCTCTACAGATGCTCCGTATTGTGGCTCTCTGGCTGCTCCACAGTGAGGCTCTCCAGATGCTCCGTATTGTGGCACTCTGGCTGCTCCACGGTGTGGCTCTCTGGCTGCTCCACAGTGTGGCTCTCCGGATGCTTCACGGTGAGGCTCTCTGACTGCTCCACAATGGAACTGTTGCTCTGCTCCTGACTGGGGCTGTTGTGCTGCTCTGCAATGTGGATGTCATTGTACATTTACATAAATAAAAATATATATTTTTGAACAAAAATCTTGCTCTTACCTTTAGTCGAGATAAATTCGTAAGCCCTTTGCATCTTCTCCAGAAATTTTCTTGTGATAGGAGTTGGGTGCAGATGGGTTATGAAATCTGCAACCCACTTATTTGAATGTTCTGTCTTCTTGTTTTACTATGAATAAAATAGGCTTGTAACCCATTGCCTCAAGTTTCAGCATCTGAAATGAACAAAAGCATTTACTACACATTAGTTAGACCCACTGAAATATTTGTCACATAAATACTGTATTAAGCAATTTTATTTTAAGGTAATTTAACGGGGTGCAATGCAAGAAAATGAGCCTTAGTCTGTTTTGTAAAGATTATTTGAGAAAAAGCATTACCACTGATTTTATTTTTATATGATCAAAGTTCAATTTCAGATAAGGCCAGAAGTACTCTTTCAGTTTCTAACATTGCCAACATGACTGACTCGTTATGTGTCAGAGAACACAACTTATTGTTTGTCTTTAACACAATTTAAAGATAAAGATAGTCTTCCTTAAATAAACGTATAAAGGCTTCATCACACTGGTACATATCATCATATGTGACAAACATGTGCTTACAGTTACACTTTAAATAACACTTTTGAATATTTTTTTTTACTTCATATATGGGATGCACGATATATCAGCAGCCATATCTATATCGGCCGATAAATGCTATTTTTGGGATTATCGTTATCGATCAGATGTCTAAATTAGGCCGATATCTTTAAGCTGATAAATTAAGTAATTGTAGAGACCTGCTTGCCGTGCGCGCGTGGGCGGAACATGTTCAGACTTGTCCAGTGCACTATAATGGAGCTCTCCTCACACTGATTATTACTTCAAAGTCCGTCCTTTCTTCATGTGGTATTGCTGTGCATTGATAACTCA